AACATGAAACTGTGCCCAGACACAGAAGACATATTGGTGTATTGAGGATTCCAACCCCGACCAGATTCGATGGAGCAGCTGGGCGTGGCGGCGTAGCGAAGTGACCTGAAACGCCATCGCCATACGTTTGGCTCTCAATTCCACATTTTTGGGCGCAGCTGCTCCAAACTCACAAGGATGGATCTTCATCCACTCCCCGACAGGAATCCATCACAATATTTGTAGGGTGTGGCCTAATTTCTCTATAGCGCCCCTAGAAAATTTTAAATGATCAGCCCCAAGCCATGCTTTAACCTACAATTACGAAACTTTGTACATGTGTGTACCATGTCAGGACTTACAAAAAAGTCTCTTGGAGCCATGGTCTAAACCCCAGAGGAAGTCGGCCATTTTAGATTGAAGTTCAGATTTTGACCCCATTTTTGCCGTTTACAGCCTCCGTGTTTGATCGAACTCCTCCTAGGGATTTCCATTGATCGGCTTCAAACTCGGTCAGTCTGCTCATAAGGCATGTCCCATCTAAAGTTATCAAAACGGTGAGTTTTTGAGAATGCTGAAGGGGGGTTAGCAGGGGTCAAAGTTCACCTACTCGCCGTAAAAAAATAAACTGCTATATCTCCTACACAGAAACTCACAGAGGCACCAAAGTTACTGTGATTGATCATCATCGGGTGTCCTACAATACCCTATGGTCGAATGATGACATCACTTAGGCCACGCCCCCTGAGAAAAGGAAGTGTCATGTTTTACTCTGAACGGTCGCTATCTGACCCCTTTGACCTCATCAACATGAAACTGTGCCCAGACACAGAAGACATGTTGGTGTGTTGAGGATTCCAACCCCGACCAGCTTCGATGGAGCAGCTGGGCGTGGCGGCGTGGCGAAGTGACCTGTAACGCCATCGCCATACGTTTGGCTCTCAATTCCACATTTTTGGGCGCAGCTTCTCCAAACTCACAAGGATGGATCTTCATCCACTCCCCGACAGGAATCCATCACAATATTTGTAGGGTGTGGCCTAATTTCTCTATAGCGCCCCCTAGAAAATTTTAAATGATCAGCCCCAAGCCATGCTTTAACCTACAATTACGAAACTTTGTACACATGTGTACCATGTCAGGACTTACAAAAAAGTCTCTTGGAGCCATGGTCTAAACCCCAGAGGAAGTCGGCCATTTTAGATTGAAGTTCAGATTTTGATCCCATTTTTGGCGTTTATAAACCATTTCAGTAATTTGCCACTTGGGGTCAGTATTGCTCCACAAATGAAACAGCAGATAAACAGGATGAAGAACAATATCAGTATTTCGCCAGTAGGTGTCAGTGTTCCTCCACCAATGACAAACAGATCCACGGGCGGATGGGCGCGAAAACTTTGTGAGAGCGTTGCCATGAAATTTCTAAAAGGATAGAAATGTCTCAGATAATTTTTGTGGAATTAAATCATGCAGTAAATGTAGCGTTTTCTTACTTCTTCCAAACCATTTCAGTAATTCGCCACTCTGAGTAAGTATTACTCCAACAATGAAATAGAGTGCTTTAGAAACACAGCTGAAAATGATGAAAAATGACGAACTGTAGTACTTCGCCATGTGCATACGATCGGCTGTAAATGACACGTGGATCATCCGACTGATGCCAAATTGGATACGTATGACCTTTGTTGACCTCTAAAAAGAACAACAGCATTGAAATATATTTTGACTCCACTGCACGTCCTACATTAATCCGCCAGCTATATTTCCTCGCTAAACCAATGAATCTGCACCACATTTTTTGCATCGTCAAGGAGCGCCTCCGAACGCATCAGTGCGTACCGCCTGGTGGACGGGCGCAGAAACTGCGCAACAACTTCTGTGTTAGCACGTGGACAGCGTTGATGGAAACTGAGCAACAGCTTCCGCGGTGCGGGCGGAGGAGCTGAAAACTGCGTGAGAGCTTCTGGGGTGGCTGGCGTGAGGCGCCGGATGCTAGTACCCCGCGGTGGCAATAGGCCGGAGCGGCGCTTGGCTGCGAGGGCCGTTCGAGGCTGCTTGCAGCTTTAATGTTTACATTCTGATTACTGTGAGAAGAACCCAGATCAGAAAAAAACACTTCTTCAAAGTTATGAAATTGAATCTTCTGTCTCATATTTCAAAGTAAAAGCCTTCCTAATATGAGCGAACCTGAGGCTAAACGCTGCGCTGCTCAGGCCCGGCCCAACCCAGCTGGGTCGGGTTTTATTCGTGCTGCAGCAGAAACTGTGGGAGTTTGATCCAAAAATATATTCCTGTTGTGAAACAATGGAGACAATGGAGCTGCAGTAACTGAGCAGCGAATGTTTGGTTTGGATCATCATGACTCAGAACCAGAACCAGAGCTTCTCTCTGGCAATCACAGGTTCATGTTCTCTAAAAATATGTCCAGTTTTTAAACGTTCAAATTGAATTTTTGTTTAGAGATGTGTTTGTTAAAAGTTCTTATTTCTGGGACTAGTCTGAAATTTTTATCAAACATCAAATTAACTAAATTTATCTGAACCAGAACCAGATTTGTTGGTTCTGGTTAAATAAATCTGTAATAAAACACTTCAGATGCAGCTGAATGTTTTATCAGAGTCTCTCCAGAGTTCATTCTGTTTTCCTTTCTGTTGCTAGCGCTAGGCTAACATGTTAGCTTTGGTTATATTTACCCAGAATGCCCTGTGCTGTAGTCCACTTCCTGCTTTGGGAGCGTACGCTGGTCCGATTGCCGTTCACATTCAAACCGAACCTGACCCACTTCAACCAAACCCAGACCGACGTTTGGAGGGACAGAGGTCAGAGGTTGATTAGCATTCAAACCTCACCAACCGAACCCTTACTTTATAGATAAGCCGACTGGAGTTGGGTTAAAGCGTCTGAACTGGGCTGGTGAGAACGCAGCCTGAATTTGATCCACAATTTAGCTGTAATTCAGGAGAAGCTTGGTCAGATTTGAGCTGAAATTCAGATGAATTAACCCAGAACTCAGCAGAACCGAACCAGAACTCCTTCAGGACCAGAGAGCATGTGTGTGTGTTCTGAGTACTGGTACCACTCAGAGTCCTGCGTTCTCCTGGTTCCATCATCATTCCAGAGTCCTGATGACTTTCTGCTGTCCTCTGAGGTGGCATTTTGTCTATTGATCCCGAAATATACCTGAAAACAGAACACACACCCACACGCACACAGACACACGCACACAGACACACACACACACACACACACACACACGCACACACGCGCGCACACACACACAGTGCTGATGCGGCTCCATTGGATCCTTTGTTCTTCAGTCCCAGATGTGAAATTATCGGACCATTATCCAGCAGAACCAGAACCAGTTGCAGACTCCTCCAGTCGGACCTCATTACTGGTTAAACTGGCCAGGTAGCCTGCCTGACCACCATCATCATCACCTGCTGCTCATCACGAATGATGAAGATGGCTCCTCTTCCTCCTCTGGGTCCCTGGGTGCAGGTACCAGGACACAAATACTCGTCAGTAATTAAAGAACCTGACCTGGTTCTGCTCGGCAGGCCTACATTCAGCGTGACGGTGCGTTCACTGGCACCTCGCTGCGGCTCAGCAGGTCACATGACCCAGCCAATCACCTTTTCTTCTTCCTGCTCAATTTTCTGACCCTGAAACTCTCACTGGGATCAGGAGGACGGCGTGTCGGTGACTCATCTGATAATTGGGTTGTGTGACGAGCTCTTTGCTAATAATTGGGGCGTCCACTCGTATCGACTCCTCACCTCCTCTTTCTCATCTTCAGCAGCCATTAGGTGGATGGGAGCTTTAGCTTTTCATGGTTAGCGTTAGCCTGATGTAAAGTAGCAGGAACTGATCCCAGGGATTTCTCTGGATGTGGTGGTTGCACCCAGAGGCAGATCAGGTTTTACCTGCAGGATCCCTGTGTTCATGCTGCATTAACTGCTTTCCCTGCTGGTTATCATTAGCGGTTAGCTCACTTAGCTTCCACTAAGTGAATTTATTGGGATAAATTATAAAGCGCTAATGTACTTTTCTGTTTTGTGAACAGTCAGTCGATTAAAGTTCAACATCTGTGTTGACGTTTTGGTTTAACGACCAATAATAATTATTTTAGTAGTTATTCATGCTTTTATTTTGAAGTGGGTGAAGACTTCCATTTCCTCTCCTCACTTTCCCTCTTTTTTTCTCCAATAATTTTAACACAAGAATAAAATAAACATGGACAGCAAAGAATTACATATAAACGTAGATATATTTAAAGACGTTACACAACATGCAGATTAAAATGTCATAATTAAATTGGTGCTCTTTAAAGGGTGTATTGCATTAGCATTAGCCTCTGCTAAACACCCTGTTGTACCTTGTAGTGCGTTAGCATTAGCGTAACTAACATTTATGTAGATTTTTTTTATTGTAGATATAATATCACCAGTTTTTATTTTGCCATTTTTTGCTGCATCATTTCATAGAGCAAGATTCAAACTTAAAATTAGAGGAAAGCTGGTGGGTTTTCTGGTGGATATTTGTCAAATGTTAAAGTTTTTTTCAAAAGTTTTTGTAATATTAGCAGCTTGAAACGAGTTTCCTCATTCAACATCAAATTTTAAAACTTCCTGTTCCTCTTCAGTGAAGTGAAACGAAGCTGCTTGTTTCCAGACGTCAGAGCTTTTACCTTCTGTCTCCACTTTAATGCATCAACTTCCTGTCGTTTAAATTATTCCTGCCGTTTGGACGGGATCCCAGGTTCGGGTTTTAACGTGAGCTGGGACTGAGGAAGAGGAGCGTGAACGCAGCATCAGGATGAAGGTGGAGTGGTCCAATGTGGGAGCAACATGAAACATCAGGCGGAATATTTTTAGGAGCTTCTTCCACACCTCTTTCTCCTCCTCTTCCTCGTCCTCCTCTTCCTCCTCCTCCTCCCCCTCCTCCATCCCTCCGTCTCTCGCCGGCGGATCGCTGCTTCCTCTGCTGCTTCACATGCAGCAGAGGAAGAGGAGGCAGGAGGAAGACGCCTCTCTGTTCGCTCTCAGCTTCTGGATCAGATTCTCCTGATTCGGGGTTTCAGGATCGGCTTCCTTCAGAGAATTGAGGCAAAGTGAGGAGCTGCAACTGGACCGACCCGTTCAGCCGGTTCTGGACACCAAGTGGATTTTTCTCCTGGTTATTTCTGAGTCAATGTTCTGCAGATGTTTCTGTCCTGCTGTGACGGGAGGAAAAGCAGCTGGAACTGATCAGACAGTGTTGGCTAAGTGGGTCAGAACCGGACCTGTACCATGTGAAGCTGAACTCCTGCAAACTCTGCCGGATCAGCCAGAACCCTTCGCGCAGTGAGGACGGGAATGCGGCTGCAACTGAAGGATCATTGTTGGGTCTGATCATGGGTCAGCCCTGCCGCCGTTAAACCCGATTCTCCTGGGGGTCATGCGGTCTGACCCGGACTGAAGACAAATCCAGACCCAGAGGGATCCGGCTCCTCGGGGAGATGGCGGCGGCCATCGCCAGCTCCCTGATCCGACAGAAGCGCCAAGCGCGAGAGTCCAACAGCGAGAAGGTCGCCACCAACAAGAAGCGCTCCAGCCCCAGCAAAGACCCGCGCTCTCTCTGCGAGAGACACATCTTCAGCGTCTTCAGCAAGGTCCGATTCTGCAGCGGGAAGAAGCGGCCGGTTCGGCGGAAACCAGGTGGGCGCTCCGGTTCTGACCAGCATTATGAACGTGCCCTCCAGTTTTTACCGTCTGTAGATGTCTGAGGAATCTGGGATGAAGATTGGTGACGTTTGGTGGCCTGTTGGTGTTTTGGGTTTAGCTTTTGGGTTTCCTGTGGGTATCGACTCCTTGGCAACGGCTCAACAGACGATGGCTGGAGGATTCTTACGTTGGTAGGACAATAAGTGAAAGGCTGGTCGTTCAGGTGTTTACTCTTCTAGATGTATGAAATTACACGGTTTGGATCACTATCTCTTTAGCTAGAACCAAGAACAAAGATGGAAGCTAAACTGATCCAAATACTCGGGTTACTCTCCTTCAGCGACCGTCAGGAGTTTTAACCAGAGAACATGATAATCTCATCCATGAGTCCATTCTCAACTCATCTGGCCTGAAACTCGGATCCATCTGCTCTGACCCACCAGCTCTCAGCGCTTACAGGTTTGGTGCAAACTGAAGAGCTAAAGAAGCTAACAGATCCCTGACAAGACCTTCAGAAAACCAGAAAGAGAATCCATTTTGCTGCAGAAAACAGCTCAGATTTATTTCTAGACTTGAGGAACAACTGGACAATCCTTCACCCTGATGGGTCCCGTCACCAAAAACACTAAATCACTCAACGATTTGAAGGTTTCCGCCTCGCTCCTCCATAACCCCAACCCTAACCCTCTTGTCTCCTCAGATTTACTGGATTTACTTCGACTAACAAGCTAGCTACGCTAACCCTAAAGCATTAATCATCAGTTCTGTTAACGCAAAAGAACAATAACGAAATGGTATTTAGCCAAAGCTAATGCTAAATGCTATATCAACACTTTATTTAGCAGACGCTAATGCTAAAGCACTATATGAACATATTTTAGTGGAAGAAAATTCACAAAAATGTATAAAGGGAGCTAAGTGCGCTAAACATTTTGAAAGTTAGCTAAACCACTAACTGATAAATTAGCTCTGCTATTAGCACATTAGCAGGAGGGTTCCCTCCTCTGCTTTGACCCATCATGCGGTTCTGGTAACCGTCAGTCTAAAGATGAATCCTTTGATCCAACCTGGAAGGAAAATGTTCGTTTTATCTCCTCTGAAGGGAAAACTACTAATGTTAACGTATTAAATAAGTAAAGCTGCTGGCAGCCGGATTGTCAGAACGTAAGCAGCTTTTATGAGTGCAGCAAAAACTTAAAAACAGCCACTAGTATTGCATAACTTTCTTCTTCTGTGGTAAATATTTGATGAGGCTGATTCCAGCTTCAGTTTCCCACTGGAGGCTCAGAAAATCCTTTTAGCAAGATTCGCGTTCGGTTCTGAAGGAGGCTGCGTTCAGCTGCAGAACCCGGTTCGGTTCGGTCTTTGTGGTACCAGATCTGTGGGTTCTGAGCGGTTTACTGCGTTTCCATGTCTGAGCGACGGCGCCGCTTTCTGCTGACCAGTTGGACTTCTGTAAAAACCTTAGAGCCAAATGACTGAGCTGAGAGTTTCTGACTGCATGAGGAGAGGAGAACCAAAAGAGTTTGGATTCAAATGAACTGAAATACTTTTCAGAGCCTGATAACAACTAATTGTTCATTTGTGCAAACAGCTGGTATCAGCATTTTTTTATTCAATCACCTGATTATAAGTTAGCAACATTATTTTATTCAATTGCTATAAACAGTTTTCTGGATCAGAAAAGGCTTCGTTGTCTCTCTGCTGAGTCATGCTTTGAGGGTTAGGGTAAAGTTCGCACTGAGCATGTGCGAGCCAAGCTAACGGGTGGCTTTTAAACTTGACGAGAAAGTTGGTTCAGCTTTCTGAGAAAAGACAGCGTTTACAGCACAATCACATAAAAACCGAATCAGACAAACCTGCTAAAGATCACCAACCACATCATCAACTTTGACTGAAAAGTGGCTAACGGTGCGCTAGCTAGGCTAACAGATGGTGAGATTAGCAATCGCAAACTCAACTTACCCTAACGGTAACCCTATGAACCCAACCAGCTGCCATTTTCTTTTTGATGGTCAGAAACTTCAAAATGGAAATGACAGGTAATCACCAAGCTGTGATGGATGATGGATGAACGGTTGGATGCATTTGGGTCAATAACAGTTTGGTTTGCTGCAGCATCTAGTCATTGTACGTCTAGGGGAAACCACTCGTGTCGGGAGGTTCTGGTCCGGTTCTGAGCGTCGCCCTCAGTCAGCTCCATGTCGCCTCGCCTTGTGATTAGGCGTTTCTTCTTCTTCTTCTTTCTGCAGCTGCTGAAGTCAGGAAGTGTGAAATCTGTCTAAATTTAGCAGCGCAGGGAGAAAATGCCTCTGGATGAGCTGATGCTAATCAGCTTGAGCAGCTAGCAGATGATTCATGTCAGGAAACAGAAACATGATCTGCTAACATCAGGGCAGAGCCGCCAACACCACAAACAAGCTGCAGAGAAACACATGAAAAGGTCAAAGGTCATTTAGCCATGAACTCATCTTGCAGTCTAACATTTTCAAAGGAACATCTTCTTCCTGTTTTCATCCTCAAAAAAAACATCAAACGGAGTCAAACAAAGTTTATGTTTCACTGTTTGCTCTCTGGATGAAAGACAAAAGCTGCTCTGACTTTTTCAGCTTCTGTTGTTTCATGAAGCAGCTAACAGAGCAGCTAACCAATTAGCTAACAGCGCAGCTGACCAATCAGCTAACAGAGCAGCTAACCAATTAGCTAACGAAGCAGCTGACGAAGCAGCCTTGTCTGGAGGTTAGCGCTGCTCCACATTCAGCTCTGTGTCTCCTGCTCTATTTGAGGCCTCCTGGCCCACATTGTCTCCTCGTCAGACGCTCCAGCAGGGACCCGGTCCAGCTGGACCGTCAGGGGAACCTCGGTCCGCTCACAGATCAGAGACGGAGATCCTGAGACAGAGTAGCGTAAGCAGGCTGGAACCTGCTTACACTGGTTCAGGTTTTACTGGGAGGACTTTTTTTTTTCACTAATTAGTAATTTTGCTAACTTTGTTAGCTCACATATCTTCCACTAAATTAATCTTTGCAGCTAAATTCTAAAAAATTAACTTTGATGTGAATGAAGTTCGACATCTGTGCTGAAGTTTTGGTTACTGATTCTGAAGAATTCTTCAAGTAGTTAGATGTTTATATTCATGCTCTTATTTTGAAGTTTGTTTTTGCAGCAGTTTTGTTTCGAAGCCTCCCAAGTTATACAACAAAATATACAGAAGAATACAACACTAACATGAATAAACAACCAGGGATGTCAAATTAAGAAATTTGAAAAAATTCACATTTATGAATTGATGTGAGAGCTTAATCATTTCTCCTTGTGACAACAAGGTCACATTTAGCGTTAGCTTCCTCTAAATGCCATGACGATACAATGTGTTTGTGGAGCCAGTGTTTAGGATTAGCACAGCTAACTTTTAGCTAGTGGTGCCATCCACTGTGTAGATGCAAACCTTCAACTGAAGTGCTGTTGAAATGTCGTCCCCATAGTGACACACAGTGGGGGAAGCGTCATGCTGTGGGACAGATAAACTGCCTCATCTGTTCTCAGATTCCCAGAAACATTAAGTTGTTTTCACCCCTCATACTTCATTTTCTTTGATCAATCAAGGAATCGTGGGATAGAAACGTTGCAGATTTCCTGCAACTTTCTGCTGACTCATTGGAAGCCATTTTTACCTCCTTGCTAATGCTAGCTTTAGCTAAAGGACCTCAGAGTTTTAGTTCAGGGTCATGATGACTGATGTCAGCTATGAACTCCAGAAGACTCAGTTTGTCTTTTCGCTGAATTGTGCCGCATGTGCTCTATGCACCAAAGGATTTCAGACTTTGAATTTGAAGAAAAACACAAAAGAGGCAGCGCAAGTAAAATAATCATGTTATATTTATTACTCCATCAAAAGCAAACCAGGAGTGCTGCTTTGATTGATTTAGGAAATCACAGGAAAGTGGCTGCTAGGTGATGGTTAGTCAAGGAAAGGAAAGCTGCAATGAGACCTCCAGCTGAGGATTTGTGTAGTAAGCGAGGAAGCAGGAGAGGAAGCAGAGAGGAAGCAGGAGAGGAAGCAGGAGAGGAAGCAGAGAGGAAGCAGGAGAGGAAGCAGAGAGGAAGCAGGAGAGGAAGCAGGTGAGGAAGAAGTAGAGGAAGCAGGTGAGGAAGCAGGAGAGGAAGCAGGCGCGGGCTGACCTGGTGTTGGTGTGTTTGTGTTACAGAGCCGCAGCTGAAAGGCATTGTGACGCGTCTCCACAGCGAGCAGGGCTTCTTCCTGCAGATGCTGCCCGATGGGACCATCAGCGGCTGCAAAGACGAGAACAGCGACTACAGTAAGCTTCAGGCTGCGACCTGCTGATCTGAAACAGATCACAGGAAGCTGAGCTCCGGAATGTTTCCAGCTGGAAACCCATCTGGTTTCCAGCAGATCAGAGCTGCTGCTGGAAACCAGATGAAAAGGAGGACACGGAGACGAGGAGGAGGAGATGTTTTGGTTTTCTCTCAGATCATCTGAGTTAAATAAAGGAGGATTAGCAGCAGCATCGCCACAGGCCTCTTCCTCCTCCTCATCCTCCTCACCCACACGCCAGCTCTCAGTCTCCCAGGATTAAATCACCTCCCATCACTCGGTCCCTCGCTCTTTTCTTCTGTTTCTCTGCGTCTTTCAGCTTCAGGCAAGCGGCAGAAGTAGAGGCAGCACTTGTCTTATTTAACTCATCTGCAGGATGGATCATGTTCGAGTCTCTGAACGTGTTCGAGTCTCTGAACGTGTTCGTGTCTGAACGTGTTCGTGTCTCTGAACGTGTTCGAGTCTCTGAACGTGTTCGAGTCTCTGAACGTGTTCGTGTCTCTGAACGTGTTCGAGTCTGAACGTGTTCGTGTCTCTGAACGTGTTCGAGTCTCTGAACGTGTTCGTGTCTCTGAACGTGTTCGTGTCTCTGAACGTGTTCGAGTCTCTGAACGTTTTCGTGTCTCTGAACGTGTTCGAGTCTCTGAACGTGTTTGTGTCTCTGAACGTGTTCGAGTCTCTGAACGTGTTCGAGTCTCTGAACGTGTTCGAGTCTCTGAACGTGTTCGAGTCTCTGAACGTGTTGGAGTCTCTGAGCGTGTTTGAGTTTCTGAACGTGTTCGTGTCTCTGAACGTGTTCGAGTCTCTGAACGTGTTTGAGTCTCTGAACGTGTTCGAGTCTCTGAACGTGTTTGAGTCTCTGAGCGTGTTTGAGTTTCTGAACGTGTTCGAGTCTCTGAACGTGTTCGAGTCTCTGAACGTGTTCGAGTCTCTGAACGTGTTTGAGTTTCTGAACGTGTTCGTGTCGTCCTGCAGCTCTGTTCAACCTGATCCCCGTGGGGCTGAGGGTGGTGGCCATCCAGGGCGTGAAGGCCGCCCTCTATGTGGGCATGAACGCTGAGGGCTTCCTCTACACATCTGTAAGACTCTTCAACATGTCACGTGTTTTCATTTTGCTTGAAAAAAATCAGACAAGGTAAAAGATTTAGGAGTATGGGGAGCTATTTCTAATTCACACAGTCAAAAATTAACAATAATTTGAGTTATTTAGCCTAAAGTAAGAGGGAAAAATGGCTAATTTTTCATTCGTTCATTCTTTCATTCATAATTGTTACAGTTTCAAACTATTTACTTATGAAGCTAACTATTTTGTTAGCCGACTTGCTAAATATATAACATCTTAGATCAATATTTTGCTAACATAACATTGAGTTAGTGAGATTAATAAGGAGCCTGAAATTGAATTTTTAGCTAGCTAGACAAATATTTAGATTCAAATTAAATATTGCATTATTTAGCTAAATTTTAAGCTAAATATTTAGTTGGCTCAGTAAATACCCCAAATCTAACTATTTAGTTAAACATTTATCATCTAATTAAATATTCAGGTAGATACATACACACAACTAGTTAATTAGCTATCTAGCTACCATACTACTTTGCGTTGGTCTGTTACATAAAGTCCTAATAAAATATGTTTAAGTCTGTTGTTAGAATGAGATCAAATGTGGAAGGGAAATGTTCTGCTCTGATTGGCTCAACTGCTCACCACCTGTTATATCCTGAGGCCTCGCACACATACACACACATGCAAACACAGAAATTTGTGTTCTATCCATATTTGGACTTTGTATTAATTTCCAATCATTTTAATAACTGCATTTATGCCTCACCCAAGCAATTAACCTAATCCTGTAAATCAGTCTGTATTTCGATTTGGTCCTTTTAAGGCCCAGTGGCCTTCATGGCAACATAAACACGCACGCACACACACACACACACACACACCTATTTTGTGTGTGGAGGTTAAACTTGCTCAGCAGACTCACGTTTGGCTTCAGGTCACCATCAGACATTTGCAGAACAAGGTCAGTGTTGCTACCCTTCCCACTCCATGGGAGACAGACACAGATAAACTGCGCTAGACAAACAAATATTTAAAGTTAAGGTTTTACTTCAGGTACTAATCACAGCATTTTAAAATAGTCTCTGTTTGTGGTTGCAGTTCAGCTTTAGATGTATGTTTATCAAACCCTGACATACTGAGTGCTGCCAGAATGTGTTACCAGGCCTCATGTCAACCAATAACTTGTTTACTAAAAATCCTCAAAACAAATAATCTGCTTCAAAACTAAATAGTAAGAAATACTATTACACTATTCAGTGCACTGTAATGAATAGGTATTTGTCTTGCACCACAACAATGCTCATGCTAACATTTCTGCTGTTGACGCATTTGAGCTGCTTGCTATTGTTAGCTATGAAGGGAATCATAGGGTTAGGGGTAAGGTAGAGTACCAACTGTTCAGCGCCCAGAAAATAACAAAAGCAGTCAAAAGTGTGACATATTTGTGTAAATCTGTCATGTTACAGAGGTATATTTTGGCTAATGACTGATCACAGTCGCTACAGTGACGTTAGCTAACAGTGGGTAAGTTGTGTCAAATAAAGAGAAAATAACTATCATCATATATTATATTTGAATCTGATCTTTTGTAAATTTAAAAGAACAAACATTTGAAACTGAAAAACACTTTTGAAACAAAAAATTCAAAAGTACTTTTGATTTTTGCTGGGTATTTTTAGTTGTAGATTTGTCTTTTTTTCAGTTTCAAAATTCTGGCCTTGTTTGGCTTGGCTGTAGAATCATAACTTAAAGAATGGAGCTAAATTGGGATCATAAAATTAGCTCAAAAATTTGTTAGCTCAAAAATTTGTTTTCTAAACTAAAATAAAATTGAAGAAACTTTTGAAACTGAAAAAGTTTGAAATTGAAAGAAATCATCTTTAATCTGAAATATAGTTTTGAACTTTCAGTTTCAATCATTATTTTTTGGGAAAAACCTTCTGGATCCTATTTAGCTCAATGTAATTAGAGTGAATATTTTAAGTTAATAATAATTAGTTAGAATTTGTATAATTTAACCACTCTGTTACAAATGAGAGTTAAAACTGAAATGGAGGTTTGATTTGCTAATTAAATGGATTATTTACATAAATGTTCTTTTTTGTATCTTGATACATTTGTATTTGTCAGACCCAAAACCAGCAATGTTTGGATGACTTTTTTTAGTAGTTAAAATAAAGACTATTTTTTTTGTGTCTCTATCAGGATATTTTCACACCAGAGTGTAAATTTAAGGAGTCTGTGTTTGAGAACTACTACGTCATCTACTCATCCACCCTGTACCGGCAGCACGAGTCGGGCCGGGCCTGGTTCCTGGGTCTGAACAAGGAAGGCATCATTATGAAGGGGAACCGAGTGAAGAAGACTAAACCCTGCTCACATTTCGTCCCCAGACCCATTGAAGGTGAGCAGACATTGTTTTCCTTCCTGAAGAAGTTTAGTCACTTTCCGTGCAGTCTCCGAGGATTACCAGGTTACCAGTTAGCTTTAGCAACAGCTTCATTTGGTATAAAGTTTTGTCCTGTCAGAAGAAAAGTAGACATTATTTGGACAAAAAATCTAGTCCAAAAAGATGGAGAACCAACACTCCCGGAGTAACTCCAGACTACTGAAAGATTAAAGTATAACTAACCCCCCTGTAAAAGCTAATTCCACCTCCTGACATGAAACATGAAGCTCAGTCTTTGCTTTCAGCTGTTTGTTGCCATCACCTTCTTCATCCATCCCTGAGCTGCAGCACATCTGGTCCTACTGTATGCGCTGTTCAATGGATGCTAGAAAAGACAAGAATTTTGTTGTTGCAGCCATTTTCATGTGCAAGTATAAATGTAGATGTCGGAGGTGTGGCTGGCAGAAGCTTATTTGGATTTAAAGTGATAAAACCCTAACACAGCTCATTCTGAAAGGAGCACACTAAAATCTAATCAAAGACTGATTTTATGCAAAAAAAATTAATAAATGTGATTTGTATAGGCCTGTATAGATCTCTCCTAACTTATTAAGGTAAATGTTTTACACTAGAAATGTTAAGAAAATCTAGAGATCTGATGAAAACTTGAATAGAATAGGATCAGTAAGTGACTGCTGAGATTGACGTGTTGTTTCCTTGTCTTCTCTGCAGTTTGCATGTACAAGGAGCCATCTCTGCATGAGCTGGAGGAGAAGCTGCTGAAGTCATCGCGGAGCCCGACACTGAACAGCGGCCGCGCCAGGAGCCTGGACCGACCACAGCGGCGGTCCGCCAACTCCTCCACAGAGCGGGAGGCGTCATAGCCTGCAGTGCCCCCACAGGAGGAGGAGGAAGAGGATGAGAACTCCCATTTTAACAATCCCTGTGTTCAGCAACTACAACCACACCGACCAACCGCCAAGACAACGATGATGAAGAAAACAATGTAAAAGGAAGATTTTAAAAATCCGGGGAAATTCTTCTTGCTTGTGATGAAATATTTAAGGAGCAAGGGCATGGGGGAGGGGCTTGCTTGGAAATTTAAAAAAAATATATCAGGACGTTGATGATTGAGATTTACATTTTATGCAAAAAGTCCTGCTGAAATAGTACCAGGAGGCTAGCACACCTACTCCTCATCAACACATTGTAATCATCATCATTTCTGTCACAATGATGACAAAATATCTGTGGAGTCGGGCAAGCGCTCCGAACTCTAAAGCTTTAAACCATGTAGAAACTTCACTTCTCTTTGTTTTCTAATGAATGCTAAAACCTTCGCACTTCCCACACGCTGTGCTTCTTCTCATTCTCCGTGTTTTCTGTCAAATCAGAGAGAGGAATTTCTGTTTCAGGTGCCACAATTTGTTTAGTTTTTTGTTTGAAAGGTCAGGGACTTGTTCTGGGTTTAGTCACAGACACTGCCGATTCAAAGGTCTGGTGAGGTAATGATACACAGGAACTTCTTGGGTTGTCTGGACTGGACAACTTTCTCTAAGCAGTCAGGAGAAGGCCATATTTTTCTGGCAAGATCTTTGTATTTGTTCACTACAAACTACACAAAGTCCACTTTTCTGCATGTTTCAGATTCTTCAGCACTGTTAGAATGATTTCTCTGCTCCCACACCTGTGCCGCTTAGAGCCTCTATCTGGAAAACCATCTTCAAACACTTCAAAGTGTGGAGCTTTAAACTTTGAAACAACAATTTTAGTTTGCTTCTTGAACGCAAAAAGGAAAGACAACAAAGCTGCTCTGAGAGGTGCTCTGAAATTCATTTGAAGAAAAAAACAACATGCTAACAGATGTTAGCATGAACGAAAATTAACAACTTTCTGCTACTTTACCTTGTCTTGATAAATAATGTGTTTGACATTTAGCAATGTCAAACATTACTAAAATCCCCATACAAGAAAAAAGGTAAAACCATTTGTTAACAGTTCTGTGTTTACATTTTTACCTGAGTGGAAATGCATTTTGTTGATAGGGGCACTTTCTGCATGTCAGTTGAAGTTAAAGACAAAAAACTTAGTATGAAAACAAAGTTTTGCCACAGACTTGATCCCTGACTTTGACGTCCAACTCACTGGGAAGAAGGTTTGGTTTGTGAGGACTTCAGGTCCTGATAAGGCTGGTGACCAGACTGGGTCCTCATAGGGACATAAAAACAAGAGCACACACACCCACACCTTTAGTTTTTCTGTCATCCTTGTTACATGAAATTCATTTCCAACTAAATGTTTGTCTAAATATAACCCAAAAATTTGGACTTTAATACCATTGAGGTTATTGAGAATGGTGATGTTTAAGCCAGAAAAGCTCCCAATGAAGCAACAAAAATAAGTACACACATAGGTCTCTAAAAACTACAGGAAGTAATTCAAAATAGCTCCATGTACAAGACAATTTTTTTAATTTTTCTGTCTGTGGATAAGTAATTACAAAAGAGTAAACTAAAAGAGGAAGTGTATGTAAAGCTTATTAAGATCAATAAATGAAATGTGTTTTATTCAGGTTTGTTTAGATTACTTTAAGAACACCAGTCAATGATTTGCTGCTTCTTTGGCCAGAAAGCAAACACTCCCCCAAAATCAGAAATGAAATGCAAAGATTTTGACATGCTTTGAAACGATGGTTTTCATAGGAATTACGCTTTGTGAAGAGGGTCCTGATGCTCGGTGTGAAAAGTCAGGAGTGGGAGGAGTCTTAAGTGTTCACACACGTCCGGAGTACTGACACTTTGTAGGCAGAGATTATTGCATGATTTATTTCCTAAGAGCACAGCGGCGCCCCCGCAGTCGCTCAGGGGAATTTTAATGATTTATTAACTCACTAACAGCAGAGTTGTGTAACGGAAAACAGGCTCCACCCACCGTGTGACCTCAAATATATAAAATACAATCAGAGTGCTATAACACGATGAGCTCTTATTGGTCCAATTTTACAGTAAAATATAATCCATAGACTACGGAAGGAAATTGTTAACCAATTAAATCTGTAAAGGAGGGAAGAGGACGGTATTTTCTGATCCAACCAAAGGCAACCAGGTGATTTCAGGTTAAGCTGATAATCCATAACTCCTGGTGGAATGTGTCATTTTTTGTTGTTTTAATTTAAATAATAAAATATGAGAAATATCCAATATTGAAAGCTGGCAGAAAAAGAAAATTTGTTTTATTAAATGATATAATTTTATTCAAAATATTTTGTAAGGATTAAATCTCTCCATTTTATTTTCATGTTAATATTTTCATGTTATATTGTTATACCAGTTTATCCTAATATATTTCAAATTAAAATGTATTCATTTTTATTTTTCTCAAATATTAGTTGTTTTTAAGTTTCTTATGCTTGTAGCAATCTGTTTTTGACTCACAGCAAAAGGTCATTTTTAACTTAATGTTTTTAGAAGAAAACCAGAAGGATCTTAATCTAACAAACTGTTAATGTTATGGTGTGTTAAAGAAACCTGGGATTTCTAAGCGTCAGTCCAAAAACGTAACTGTTAGGTTAATTGGTTTCTCTCAATTGCTCTTAAGTATGTGTGTGTATGGCAGGGAGTTTTAGCATAAGAATTGTTTTGTCTGACTAACCTTACTTACTTTCAAGACATTTAAAAATGTGTTTTAGTTTGAAATAATATATTTTGACTATTCTGAATGATAATTTAAGATTTATGCATTTAGATCCTAACTGGAAAGAACATAAACTTTGTGAAATATACAAGAAATTTCCTATTATTCTCTGCCAAACAATGCACTTAAAAACAGCTTTAAAGAGTAAAAGTACTGCTGCAGCCCATTTTCAAGGTGAAAATAGAGTATTTTCAAAAATATTTCTTAACATATCTTTTTAAAATTCTATGTAGATCTGCAACATTTTGACAAGACAGAATAATTATTCAGGATATAGTCAGAAGGTTAATTCAAGATATATGAAACAGAAAAGTCATCTAGATTAAAAAAATGTTTCTGAAATTTCTAATTTATTTGGATATGTATTAAGTATTAAATTAGAGTTCTAGTTATCGCTGTTAGTTTTGTTAAGTCATTAATTGCTTTCAAGATATCTCCAATGTAATTTGCATTAGTTGAAGATTATATATCATCTTATTCAAGAATACTTCCAAAAAACTTTATTTAGAATTATAGTCAGAACAAAAGGTGACATTTTTCAAATTTGTGATTAATTATAATTTAATATGTCTCAGTCAGTAATCAATCTTAAATTGAAGCCTCAATAAACTTTATCCTAAATCTGACATAATTTAGTCATAATGCAATTACAGAGAATTTACTTATGTATAATTTATGTAAGTAAAGTTATGTTAAAACGGCCTGCCTTAGTTGTATTTATGGTTTACCTGTATGTCTCTGTGGTGTAAAAAGTTTCACAAAATGGATGAATGCATTTATAGATGTTTTTATATGACTCAGTTTTTTTGGAGAGATTTATTAATGTAATTTAAATAGAAATTATATTGAAAAAAAACCTAAAAGTTATTTCCTGGGTTTCTTTCCCCACCGCGGTGTGTTCAGGAGTCGTTCAGGAGTTGTTCAGGCGTCGGCTTATGGGATGTGGTGGCAGCAGATTCAACACTGCCCTCTCTTCTGCAAACAGCACTGCCCTGAAACTGAAGCTACTTTACTGCAATGCCATCTGAATTTCATAAATCTGAATCAGGAAAATTGCTGACAGATCAGAGAAACGTTTACATTTTAACATCCAATAACCTCCATATTTGTTTAACTGTTATATGTTCAAGTTGTAGCACTGCCCCCTGCTGTTTGTTTTCTCCCTTTAACTCCTGACACCAACCGGGTTTCCTGAAAACAGGTCAATAGAAAAACAGAAAAGATAGAAAAAAACTGGGAGTGATCTTTTAATTTTCTGAGATTTTTTCCTGTTTACATCTTTACGATCTGCTGACCTGCAGCAGGAAACCTGACAAACTTCAGACGTTTGGTTTTTCAGCATTTTCAGGAAGCTTGCTTCCTCCCATCAGCCGAATCCGGAACAATATATCGGTTTGGGTGTTCTGTTTGACCCCTGACCCTTACGATCACAGTGGGCGGGGTCAACAATCCTCTAACTCTGTTTGGCTGCCTGAATCAAATGAAAAACTGATGGGGTGATGGAGGGAAATGAATGAACCAATCACAGCCCACCATTCTCCCTCTGAGAAAGTCTTCCACTTTGGGATTTTAAATGGACCGTGAGGATTGTAGAGACTGCTGACTTTTCCCAGAGCGCTGGGGAAATTTTAGCGTCTTTTTTTCTGCCACATCAGCTGCTTCAGACCAAACAGAAATATGTCTTAAATTGCTTTCTGCTCTGAAGCATCCGTGCCTTCAGGTGACCGCAAAACATCACAGCTCATACTTTAAAGTATGGAAGGCCAACAAGGCCAAAAAACAGAAAGACATTGTAAATGATGAACTTTTTTAAAATTATTTCATTAATTTGTTGTTCTCAGTTCATGTGTATAATCTGGAAAAAAACGTCAGAGAGGAAAGTTGCACTTTTTTCAGTTTTATTTCTTAAAATCAATTGTAGAAAATTCTAATTATATTCATGAAAGAATAAATCTTTGTCATATGTTAAGTTTTTCACATTTATGATTAACTTTTCTTCTAGGTTTTTTAAATTTTATTAATTTGTTCTTCCAGGTTCATAAATCCAAAAAAAAAAATCAGAAAGGAAATTTTTTTTTTCTTAACAATAATTGTAAATAATCAAATCAATGACATACATAAGAACATAGATCTCTGTTATAAATGTTTAGTGCTTCTTATTTATGATAAACTTTTCTTTTAAGTGTAAAAACTTTTCCACATTTTTTTGTTTAATCCTGCTGATATTTTTGGTTTTTAATTTCAATCCTTATTAGAGAATTTCATATTAATTTGTTGTATTGTCAGAAAACACAGAACACCTCAAAGTGAAAGCTTATAATTCCAATGGTTATCCTGTCACCTGAAGGCATCACCATGGCAGAGCAGAGACTGTGCAGTGAAAGTCTGTAATCCCTGAAGCGGTTCAGTTCTGAAACTGTAGGGGGCGCTGGAATCAGTGCCAGGAATCAGTGATGAAATGTGGGAATCTGTTGAGAATGTTTTTTGTGTTTGCTGATGTTTGCACCGTCATATAAATGCATCATGTATTAGAAAAACTCATCGCAAATACGCAGCAGGATGAAAAATTTAAAAATGACAATAAATCAAAAATTAAAAAAGAAAGAATTTCAGTGTCTGTCTTGTATTTTTTAAATTACAGTCCAGTGGGTTTGAAACGTTGATCCTGCTGCTGGCTAGTGTCGCCTCCAGGTGGCAGAAACATGGAACTTCAATTTGAACAGAAAAACGTTTTTAAGTATGAAAGAGCTTTGAAGTAACATTTTAAATATAAAACATATATTTAAAATTATTTTTAAATGTTAGACAAACACAAAATTAATACACAGGTTGCATTAACATTTTTAGATTATTTTAGCTCCAAACAATTACTCTGATTCATAAACCTGATATTATCACTTTGCATACTTTACATTCATTTTTTAATGTATTAATTGCCTGTTATAGTTATAACTAATAAAAAAATTATCAACAATGGTAACTGATTGAAATAACTGCTGCTGACGATGCAGCAGTGGTGAATGGAAGCAGTTAAAAGTCTCATTTTACTTGTGAAGCTTTAACAGCACTACAAGACTTTAGCCATCAAAATGTTATTTCAAAGACACATCTGTCATCTTACCCAGAGGAACGTAAAAGTGTTCACTCCATCCCTCACTCCACCGCTTATGTGATGTTTTTCATTTTTCACCACGATTCTTTCACAAAAGAAAATTATGTTTTGTTGATTAAATGAGTCAGTTTCTTTAATTTCCCTTCCATTCACAACAAATAATCAAGTATGCAGAGAGGACAATTAGATCTACCGTTCCCTCCAACCAGGCCAAAGGTCAGAAAAAAGGCAGCTAAAATTTCTGCAGATCATACACATGCTGGACATGAACTGATTAGGCAGAGACCCAGGCTGTTTCTTTGATATAGTAAACAGAGAAGTCAGTTACTTTGCTGTGAAACAAAATTAGCATTTGCATTATTACAAGGTCCTTTTTTATCCTTTATTTTAAAATTAGGTTTTCGCCTACATGTACTTTCTGTTCCTCTTATCTTTTACTTTATTTCCTCTGTTGTGAGCGTGTTAAAACAAGATCCACATAAACACAAAGCTGTTCTTTCTTTCAACAAAATGAACACATATATTTTTACTTTTTGTCATGTTTGGATGTGATTAAGCTGGGAGAGATTTTTTTAATTGTTGTTTGTCTTTTTTTGTTGCTGCTTTTATGTTTGATGGGTTGAGTTGTGAGTTAAAAGCTCGTCGAGTTTTGGCTGGAAAACCTCTCAGTCGGTTTCCACTTCGTAGAACGCTTTGTTAAATGTTCTGGTGTCCTAAAAGCCAAATGGCTTCATCTATGTTTGATGAGGAAAGACAGAAAAACACAAGTCTGCTGCAGCGGAACGAGTCTGAAGGCTTCAGACTCACTACTGTTAAAAAATAACAGCAGCTATTTAGCCCTGAGGTTCCCAAACAGTTCCAGGCCATGGCCTCCTCTAAGAAAGAACAGTCATAAATATTACATTCATTTTATTAATTTGACCAGCAGCCAATCAGAAAATGAGCACCAGAAAAAAAAGTTTTTCGTATTTATTTTAAATTCTATGTTTAAAAAAAATATTGAATCACAGAAAACAAAAATTGTGATGAAAATGTTCTTATTAAAAACTTTAAGGAGCTAATTATTTGTTTCTAATTTTCCCTCCAACTTGCTGATTCCCCCACAACGTCCCCTGCTGGTTCCTCAGTGGGCCGCGGACCCCACTTTGGAAAAGTTTTGCCTAAATGGGTTTAATGTTTCAAAGTCATATTGTCACCATGTTCATTCATTCATTCATTCATTCATTCATTCATTCATTCATTCATTCATATCACAGTTCTAAACCAGCAAAGTATTTATGCCTCCTGTTGTTACACAGTAGGAACAGCAGGGGGCGACATCCAACCATGAGTGAGGACAGAAAGCCGCGCATCTGAATGAAAAGCTGCTAATTTACCTGAAAGTTAGTCGAAAAGAAAACATGTCAGGATCTTCCTGCTTTTTCTTTTAATTAACTTCATAGATTTATTTTTACTTCACAGTTAAGTGTGAAACCAAGTCTGAGTGATTTTAGTGTCATTAAAAACACGATAAGACCAACAGTTTCCGGTTTTACCATAAAAATGATATTTTATCTGATTGCAAAACTTTCCACAACATGACTAACAGTTATCGAAGATCAAACGTAGAGGTTAGAATTTATTCTAAATTAATGTAATAATTAATGAAAAGTGAATGAAAAGCTAAAAGTTGATCGTTTACATATTTTGCAGCATTGAAAAAGTTTGGGAACTTCTGTCTTAATTCCCTTAAAATAATACAAAACTAAAATAAGTAACTTGTTTTGGTGAATTATTCATTATTATTAATGCAGAGATTTTAGTTTCAAGGCGAATTAGAACATTTTTAAATAATCTGTCAGAAGAAATGAAACGATTTTAAATTAATTATATGAACTGGAAACAAAAACAAAGATTCTTGTTTTTCTGATATGAGACATTTTTGTTGTAAGATGTTTGGGTCCCTGCAGGATGGGCTGACTGAATGAGGTTCGGATGGGCCCAGGTTCAGATGGGTCCAGGTTCGGATGGGTCTAGGTTCGGATTGGTTCGGACAGGCCCAGGTCCAGATGGGTCCAGGTTCGGATTGGTTCGGACAGGCCCAGGTCCAGATGGGTCCAGGTTCGGATGGGTCTAGGTTCGGATGGGACTTTTTCTCTGAACTGAAAAGTTCGGGGCATTCCGCGCCATTTCTGACCCGGTTGATTCCCACTCAGGTTCGGTTCGGACTGAAACGTTGGACTCGGTTTGTTGGGAAATCGTGTGACGTCATGATGACCTGGTAGGGGGCGTGGCGCGGACCGGAACCAACTTCTGCTTCCTACCCCGCAAACAGCGGCTCCGTTCTGCGCGTTTCACGCACTTTTCTCAGGTTCCAAGTCCCGCAAAGTCCGAGGCGATTCGGTTCCGTCCCGCTGCCTCCCGTTCGGGCCGAACCCTGAACTGGAGGGATGGTTTTGTTTTGGGGTCGTTAATCAGCGGGACACTTTGGAGGAGTTCCCGGACCACCCAGACCGAACCGGACCGGCTCGGTGCTCAGATTTACGGCCGGACCGGACCGGAGCCCAACCGCTGCCCGAATCGAAGCTGCTCCCCCCAAAGCCCGGCAGGAAGATACCCAGGTTCAGATCCTGGTTCTGTTCCGTTTCCAGGTTCTGAACAGTCCCGAAAGGCTCGTCCGGACCGGATCCAAATGCAGCGAATGTAAGTCAGCGCCTGTCGGAGGATTTCCTCTAAATCTGCAGTTTTTCAAATGAAGTCTGGTACTGAGGACCGTCACGCTTTTCCTGCTACGCTTTCCTGATAATAAAAAGTACTTTGCGTCTTTTGACTCATTAAAACTGGATCAGGTTCCGACCAGCAGCCCGATGACTGATGTTCTACCGCAGTTCTGACCCATAACAGAGTTCTGCTCGCTGTCATTTCTGGTCGCAGATCCACTGAGCGGACCTCCTGAAAAAATCCCCAAATTTATGCATTAAGATCGATTATATCCCGTAACCAGAGTTTGAAAGTAGATCTGGACACTTGAATTATTGTTTCCAATGAAATGTAACGTTTCGTCATCCATAAAACACCAAACTGCATGGACTCATCGTTTTGGTTAAAGATTTTACTGCAACTTTCAGGGAAAATTCATGATGAAAATTTTCATTTGAGGCAAAAATGTGTTATTTCTGAAACTGAGACCGTTAGAGTCCAACAGAAAGGCTCAGGATAATTAATCTGAGGAGCAGTTTTATCTGTTTGTGCTGCTCATCGATCGGCTCTCATAATCAGATCATGGTGGCTCTGGTCAGTTTGGGGAGTCTGCAGAGATCAGCAGAAAGAGCCGCAGCCTCCTCATCTTCATCACTGTCATCCTCATCATCAGATGTGGAAACGAAGCAGCAGGCCGATTTTATTTCCTCCACATTTAATCCTTTAATCCTCTCCTTTAATAAAGACAAGAACCTGGGAAGGTCGGAGGAAGTTTCACTGCAGTGATAAACTTCCTAGAATTCCCATTAACACACACACACACACACACAGACACACACACACAGAGAGACACACACACACAGAGACACACCCACACAGACACACACACACACAGAAACACACACACACACACACAGAGACACACACACACACACAGAGAGACACACACACACACAGACACACACACACAGAGAGACACACACAGAGACACACACACAGAGAGACACACACACACACAGACACACACACACAGAGAGACACACACACAGAGACACACCCACACAGAAACACACACACACACACACAGAGACACACACACAGACACAGACACACACACACACACACAGAAACACACACACACAGAGACACACACACACAGAAACACACACACAGACACACACACACACAGAAACACAGACAGAGACACACACATAGAGACACACACACAGAGACACACACATAGAGACACACACACACACAAACACAGAAACACACACACACATAGAGACACACACACAGAGACACACACATAGAGACACACACACACAAACACAGAAACACACACACACATAGAGACACACACACAGAGACACACACATAGAGACACACACACACACAGAAACACACACATACACACAGACACACACACAGAAACACACACAGACACACACACAGAAACACACACAGACACACACCCACACACACACAGAGACACACACACATACACACACACACACACACCCACACACACACAGACCTTGCAGAGGGAGGAAGGTGTTCCAGCGCTGGTTTTATTGAGCTCTTGCTGGCAGGAGGTGTGTGTGTGATGGATGGTGTTGTTGGGCGGCTCTGGTTCTGTATGTCCCTCCAGGGATCCCTTCCCTCCGCCTGATCATCCTCCGTGACACATTAGCCTCCGTCTGTCTCCTCCAGATCCTCCATCTTCTCCCTGACAGCTTTCAGCTTCACAAACGTCCCGACTGACGGCGGGAGAATCCTGGCTTTCCCTCCGGTTTTCTGGACTTCTGGAGTCAGAAACGGGTTTAATTAGCCAGCAGGCGAGTTCTGCCTCCTCCAGGTCAAAGGTCAGGCTCTTCCTGACCTACCCAGATACGAATGGATTAAATGAAGCGCTCAGAATTACAGCAGACATCTTTACGTTACATTAGCGTGTGCTGCGTTCGGTAAAGAGTGGGCGTTTATCGTATCGTTTATCGGGATTTTGATAAGAATTTAGATTTTCTCAATAAATTTCAATTTATTATTGAAAAACCCACAGCTGTCCGACTGTCAGGGTTTTTTCCTCCACTGTTTGTTCGATGGGAGCATCAGTAACACAAAATCATATTTTATACATCCCATTTCAAATCACGCCTCTCTTCTTTATGTGTGAAGCGTATCGCAGTGGGAATGTTTCTCCAGATCAGTATTTTCTTTGTGTGTTCTGTAATTCCTGCAGAACCTTTAGACCCGAGTGAAAACCGTCGGCTTCTGGATCCAGTTAAAACCAGATAAAGACCTGGAAGTTACTAACGAGGCTTTTCTTCTTCTCTCAGGGCGTCCTTCATCCTCCTCTTCCTCCTGGCTGTGGCGGGCGGAGCCATCAGCCAATCCAACGACTCGGCAGGTGGGTGACGGGCTGGGGGGGCGGAGTCAGCGGTTAAGAGGCGGAGTCAGCGGTTAAGAGGCGGAGTCAGCGGTTAGGAGGCGGAGTTAGCGGTTAAGAGGCGGAGTCAGCGGTTAGGAGGCGGAGTCAGCGGTTAGGAGGCGGAGTCAGCGGTTAAGAGGCGGAGTCAGCGGTTAGGAGGCGGAGTCAGCGGTTAGGAGGCGGAGTCAGCGGTTAGGAGGCGGAGTCAGCGGTTAGGAGGCGGAGTCAGCGGTTAGGAGGCGGAGTCAGCGGGTAGGAGGCGGGGTCAGCGGTCCGAGTCGCTTCTGAACTTCAGAGTTTCTCCTCAAACTGTTTCTGCTTCCAAATGAAGCGTTTGAAGTTTCCCTGCAGATTATTTAATCTGATGACGCTAACGAGGAGCCGAGCGTCTCCATGGCGACGGCTCATGGATGGAGCTGCTGGGACGATGGAGGAAAACCGCAGGATATTCTGGAAAACGAGCGTCTCACGCTGAGCAGCGCCGCTGAGTGCGGGTCGGGTTCTGGCAGCAGAACCGGAACCAGAATCCGCATTGCTTCCAGACTGCCGGTTCCACCAGCAGACCCGATCAATAAACCAAAATAATAATAACTTCTCATTAATATCTACAGGTTTTAGGTTTTAACGTAAAGAAAAAAAAACTTCTTAAAAAACACATTTTATTTTTTGATGCTGAAATTTGCACAGAATTTCCAGCTGAATAAGAAGAAAATGCATTAAAATTGAACTGACCTGAAGTTTCATTCTGGCCCGCAAATGAAATGTAATTATTCCACTAGAAAAAGACACGAAGCTAAAACCTGCATTTGTCATCAGATCTATTTAGAGCTTCAGTTGTTTATCATCTTAGTCACAGTTTTAGGAGCTGCAGGTTGACCTTCATGACCTTTAACTTTTTCTGTCTTTATGACAAAAAAGCATTTTTGTCTCTTCTGAGGGCGAACAATTTAAACACTGCTGTTAATAATTGAGCGTCTCACTTCCTTCCTGCGCTGCACATGAATCACCTGCCGTTTGAAAACTAGTTTTATTTATTTTCAGTGAGGAGTTTTTATGCAGACGCCTCATTTCAGTTTGAAAGGCCGAAATGTTTCCTGAGAAACGTTGTTTCCACCTGGATGCAGATCAAATCTGCTGGGAGTGAAATTCCTCACATTCATCTGAGTTCTGCTGAACAGAACCGGCTGAGAAGCACTTCCTGTTTCCTGATGAGGTCAGAGTCTGAAACGCGAACGGACAGACAGATGGACGGACGGACGGACGGATGGATGGACGGACGGACGGACGGACGGACGGATGGACGGACGGATGGATGGACGGACGGATGGATGGATGGACGGACGGATGGATGGACGGACGGATGGACGGATGAACGGATGGATGGATGGACGGATGGATGGATGGATGGATGGACGGACAGACGGACGGATGGATGGATGGACGGACGGACGGATGGATGGACGGATGGACGGATGGATGGATGGATGGACGGATGTCTCCCTGCAGCAGCAGGCTGTGGACACGTGGAGGTTTCATAGAAAGACGGATCCTCCGGCAGGGAAAAGCTGGCAGGTCAATTACCGCCATGCAGCGCGGCGCTCTGCTCAGAGAGGATCCATTAATCCAGAACTCGGCGTTCAGAGCCAGGAGCCGTCGGGCCGAACCAGGTTCTTCTGGCGCAGGAAGCTCAATATGTTCTAATTTCCCCAACAGCCTAAAAGTTTTTATGTTCTAATTTCTGTTGAAACAAACAAATGTGATGATCTTGTGACCTACTGTTTATTATGATAGCTGTTACTAACGCTTAAGGTTAGCTTAAGGTTTAACACTTTAGCAGAAACTATTCAAGCTAGAGCTAACACCATCAACTCCAGCTAACGTTATTAGCAGAAGCTAATGTCATCAGCAAGAGCTAACACCATTAGCTAGAGCTAACACCATTAGCTAGAGCTAACAGTCTCCTACGTTTGAAAATGTGCTGATGCTAACTGCAAACACCTTTAGCTAGCATCTGGAGCTATTTGGTATTTCCAAACAGCAGCCAACGGTCTCCTCTTCCTCCGTTTGTTCCTCCTCATCTTCATTTCTGCTGTTTTTTCCTTCACTACCTTCAATTTCAAATTGAAGTAGCTAAATGTTTCATAGCGCCTAGCATGCAACATTTTCCCAGGATCCAGCTCAACCACATGGCGGCGAACAAGTGACAATATTTTATTTTAATTTTTGAAAACTTCTAAAATAAAGACTATTGTTGAATCTAATCATGGAGACATTTCCAATTTTCCTGGAGGTTATCTTTGCGGAGCTTCTTAAGGAGTTCAGAGTTCTGGTTCTTGACGGTCCAGTCAAAGTTTGGGTTTTTTGGACAAGCTGTCTTCGGTCACATTGTGGCGTTTCTACGGCGTTGGGACCTTTAAAGGTTTCCTGTCCGTGTCATCATCCGGCTCCAGTCCAATTAAGCGTTCCCTGATGAATGGGGGTCATCTCCGGTCCGACCCGACCCGGCTGACCGATCGGCTCCATCTTCGGGTCGAGGACGGAACCATCAGTCAGAAAATCAATCGGACGGAAATGAGTCGTCGCTAATTTAGATGATTGATGGCCGGTGTGAAATCCCAGAGCGACGGTTTGCAGAATCAGTTCAAAGCTGCGGCGCTTCAGCCTATTATGGGATGTGATTTGTACCGGTCAGAAACGATCCGGTTCTGATCAGGTTTGAGGTTTGGCCACCATTTTTGTATCTGCAGTTCGACTCTATGCAGACGACGCCTTCGTTCAACTTCATAGAAGTTGAACGTTTCCTCAGCTTTGAGGGTAAAAACGGGTTCAGACCTTTTGGGTCGACCCGGTTCTGAACCTCAGAGATATTTCATATTCAGGCTGGCTATTTATTAAAAGCATCTGAAGCAGCAGAACATGATGGATCGGATTGGAAAACTCTGGTCAGATTTAATGAACCTTTGACCTCCGGCCCAGTTGGGCTCCTCTTTGAGTTTAAGGAGTTGAAGTTTTTCTGATTGTTGATTGGCTGGTTCAGCCAGAGCTGCGATCTGATTGGACGCAGGAATTTAAATCTTTAGATCAAGTTTTGAGTCTAAACGCTGTTTTCCTTCCTGCCATCAGAACCGATGTGCTTCGACTGGGGCGAGTCCAGCCAGGCAGCGGTTCTGGTTCTGGACGGGGAGGCCGGCTGGGTCTCCTGCCCGCTCTTCTCCCACCCGGCCGTCTACAACTACACGACGGCCCAGAGCGCCGGGCACGACCTGGTCTGGTACCGCCTGCTGGACGGCCAGGACCTGGAGCAGCCCATCCCCTACAGGTAACCATGGAAACCACCAGGGGTGGCTGTGACCGGCTCGGTTCTGATTCTGGTTCTGATTGTCTCCTGCAGCGCGCGGATCAGCAGAGAGCGGGACCGGCTGTGGCTGCAGCCGGCCGAGGCCGACGACAGCGGCCAGTACATCTGCATGCTGCGGTGAGTCCTGTTTCCATGGAAACAAAGTTCTGCTGAGGTTCTGGTTCCTGGCAGCTCAGATGGACCCGCTCTGATCCGGTTCTGGTTCAAACAAACTCTGCAGTAGGCACGCTTCCGCTACCGCTAAAGCGGTAATCTCAATTCATCAGGAATAGTTTTTGTTGTCCAACATTTATCAAGGCCTCCATTCCAGTTTCACTATTGAACTGATTGTTTTATTGATCACCGATAGCGATCAATCGTTCAGGGTTTTCTGGTGAGTGCTGGGTCCGGGTCCGGGTCCAGGTACGGGTCCGGGTCCAGGTCCGGGTCCGGGTCCGGGTCTGGGTCCAGGTACGGGTCAGGGTCCGGGTCCAGGTATGGGTCCAGGTCCGGGTCCAGGTATGGGTCCGGGTCAGAGTCGGGGTCCGGGTCAGAGTCGGGGTCCGGGTCAGGGTCCAGGTACGGGTCCGGGTACGGGTTCGGGTACGGGTCCAGGTACGGGTCAGGGTCCGGGTCAGAGTCGGGGTCCGGGTCCGGGTCCAGGTATGGGTCCAGGTCCAGGTCCGGGTCCGGGTCCAGGTCCGGGTCAGGGTCCAGGTATGGGTCCAGGTACGGGTCCGGGTACGGGTCCGGGTCCGGGTCCAGGTCCGGGTCCAGGTCCGGGTCAGGGTCCGGGTCCAGGTCCGGGTCCGGGTCCAGGTATGGGTCAGGGTCCAGGTCCGGGTCCGGGTCCGGGTCCGGGTCCGGGTCAGGGTCGGGGTCCGGGTCCGGGTCAGGGTCCGGGTCCAGGTCCAGGTCTGGGTCCAGGTCCGGGTCCGGGTCCGGGTCCAGGTCAGGGTAACTGATGCTGATGAAATGAAAACGTTTCATGTTTGGGTCAACATGCCGGTTCTGCTCCGCCTGCAGCAACAAGTCGTCCTGCAGCAGGATCGCCGTGCGTCTCCAGGTGCGGCGCCGGGACCAGGTGGACCGATTCGCCGGATGCCCAGAGGTTGCCATGGCAGCGACTGAGGTGCTGATCGGCTTCCAGCAGGGGGAGACGCTCACCTGTCCGAACCTGCAGGATGCCTCCAAGATGGCCGACAGCGACCCAAGGGTCAACTGGACCTACAAGAACCAAGCCATGTCGGTAAGGCGGGAGCCCGAAACCGTTTGGGTCAGAATCATCTGGGTCGGCCTCTAAACGCCGCCATCTTGTCTCCCAGAACTGTGATCATGACTTGTCCTGGAACATTCACTGGGAGGTCGGAACCGGGTTCCGGATCCATAACATGCTTGAATCCTATGAGGGCCTGTACATCTGCACAGTCCAGTACCGGCGGAGAGGCGAGACGCTGAGCTTCACCAGGAGCATCAGAGTCTCAGGAATCTGTGAGTCCGAACCGCCTCCAGAGATCCGGGCGGTACCGGTTCGGTACCGGACGGACCCGCCCAGGTAACCTCTGCTGTCTGCCTGCAGATCCCTCCAACGCACCCAAATATCCAGCAATCCTCAATCCGACCAACGGCAAGGTCTTCCCGGTCAGAACCAGTAAGTTGCTACTGGACCGGACCGGATCAGCAGAACACGGATCTGGATCTGAAAGCCAGATCGATCAATCCTCAAGCTTTTCAACTTGGGGCGTGATATGGTTTTATGGAGCTTCATTGGGGCCATAAATATTGTTCAATAATGTTTTTTTTACTGAAAAAAACTTTTTCTGTTTAAACATAATTTTTTTCTGTTTTAAAACTTTTTTTTGTGCAAATTATTGCTACAAATTTAGCTCCATACAGACCAGATATTTTCAATGAGGTTGTTTTTTCAAGGCCTTTTCCATTTTGAAGGGAAAATTACAAAACTATGAGAATAAGAATCATTTAGTTAAAATGTTTATTTGAGCCCAAAGAACATTAGCAGAACCCAATCCGATGTTCATACTTAGAAAAGGATTTTCAGGAAGAAGGAAGTAAATCTGAACTGTTGGTTTAATTGATCCATTTTATCCAATAAAGCTGGAGCTCCGCGCTGCGTTCAGGGTCGCGTGTTTTCCAGAGCACTGAGGCAGAGGAGGCGGTTCTGATTCTGGTTTCTGTTTCCTGTCAGACTCAGACGTCCATCTGACCTGCAAAGGCCAGCTTCCTTTCATCATCGACAAACCTGAGCGGGAGATTTGGTGGACGGTGGATGGGAAGAGGGTGGAGCAGCTGAACGACGCGCGCTTCACCCAAACCAACAGGTTCACAACCAAACCAGTAAACCAACTGGTTCACAACCAACCCATGTAGAACATGTTTGGGTTTCAGTTGGGCAACAGAGTTTCCTCTGAACTGATTGTCTGAATTATCTGCTAGCAGAACAACAGACGACCACCGTGACTTGACAGTGGAGATCATCCTGAAGATCACAGACGTCCAACGTGAAGACCTGCAGAAAAACTTCACTTGCTCAGTGAGAAACGCACGCGGTTCTGTGGCCCGCTGGGTCCATCTGGAGGAAGAGGGTGAGAAAGACTTTGGGTTGAACACTGGCTAAAGCTCTGTGGGTGCTAACCTGCAGATGTTTCGCTAACATGCAGCTGTTTTGCTGACCTGCAGATGTTTCGCTAACCTGCAGATGTTTTGCTAACCTGCAGCTGTTTTGCTAACCTGCAGATGTTTTGCTAACCTGCAGATGTTTCGCTAACATGCAGCTGTTTTGCTGACCTGCAGATGTTTTGCTAACCTGCAGATTTTGCTAACCTGCAGCTGTTTTGCTGACCTGCAGATGTTTCGCTAACCTGCAGATGTTTTGCTAACCTGCAGCTGTTTTGTTTCCAGTATCGCTGCCCTCCGTGGAGCTGGGCTGCGGTCTCGGTGTCACACTGGTGCTCATGCTGCTGCTCTTCGTGGTTTATCACGTCTTCTGGCTGGAGCTGCTGCTACTGTACCGCTCCTGGTTTGGCACCGACGAGCGGCACACAGGTAGGCTCCCCAACTCAGCACCTCCAGGATACGGGACACTTCAGTTTGGCCTAAAGCATCCCAGCTACGGGACAGTCCGACTCGCTGCCTTTCAGAGGGGAAGGGTCTGCATCGCCGGCCCTTCCCTTCCCTTCACTGTTTATTTTCCAGATTGTGCTCTGAGCTTTTAGTGTATTAAACCGTTCATAAAAATGGAGCGACACCGTCAAACACTCAGACGTGTTTTATAGCAAAGCTTTTAAATCGGAGCGCCACCTGCTCTGCTGCCAGTTAAATCTACAAAGTGAAAGCTGTAAACTTCCTGCGACTCGAGTCCAAACTCTGCAGAACTTTAAGAACTGAGAAATAAACAGCAGCTGCACCTAAAATGTCAAATAGATCCGATATCATGGGGAATTTTCTGCTTTCTCAGCCAAAGCTGGTTTCATTAAGCATGTTGAGACAAGATCTCAGAAATGGTAGAGAACGAAAATTATGTTATCTTGTGAGAAAAACAAACTGTGACACATTTGGAAACCGCACACATCCGTTTTTCATCATGTTTACTTTAACTTATGAATTTATATTAAATCCTGCTCTTTAAAAGTGGAAAATAATTTATTTTAATTATTGGAAAAAACTTGTAGGTCACAGTTTTTAGCTATAAGCTAAATGTTTTAACACATCACAATTTCTCCTCAACAGATTCTAATAAATCATAACCAGTTTTTTCAGCTGTGTTTCATATGATGTTTTTAAAATAAAGTTTAATAAAACTTAATCACACTTGGATGTTCCTGACCAAGCTGCAAATCGCAACACAACATTTTTAGCCTAGCATAGCTGAGTTTAGCTTTGAATAATTTACCTCATAAGTTCAAAATGATCTTAATTGATCTGATTTTAACTGAGCTTATTTTTTGTTGAATGACCTCACAGTAGTTTAGCATAGCTGCTATTTAGCTTAACTTTCCTTTAATTAGATAATCAGATTTAGTTAAAAGTAATTTTACTTTTGCTTGATTTATCTTATTTTGGTTTAGGTCACTTTAACTTTCACATTTTACTTCACCTTGTTTTAGGTTAGCCTATGTTAGCTTAGCATACTTTACATTGACTTAGCTTAGTTAGGCTAAATGTTGTTTCAGATTTCCTCTGTTTAGCGTAGCTCACCTTAGTTTAACTTAACCTGCTGTTAATCCAGGCTGAACTTCTTTTAGGTTCCATAATCTTGTAGTTTTTGTTGTTTAGCTTTACTTTCATTTTCTGACTTGAAAAGTAGAAAAATTCTCAACCAGTTTGTTTTATTTTGAAGGTTGAAGGAGAAAGCCAATATGGCAGCATGAGTTCAGTCTCAGCCTGAAGTAAAACTGTCTGATCGTGAGCTGAGATGTACTTTGTTTGAGCCGTCGCGGTGAAAACCGTGTAAAGGTTTTGACAGATCTCAGGAAATGACTCAGCGCTCTGAGGAACACAGACCTCAGATCAGATGAAACCACTTCCTTTGCAGATATTTTCCTCTGCTGGTGTTTCAGACGATAAGGAGTTTGACGTCTACATCTCGTACGCGCGGAACAGCGAGGAGGAGCAGTTCGTCCTGTCGACGCTGCGCGGTGTCCTGGAGAACGAGCTCGGCTACTCCGTCTGCATCTTCGACCGGGACAGTCTGCCCGGAGGGAGTGAGTTCCTCTAAACCTCCACCCTTCACTCATTCATCACCCCTTCACCCCTTCATCCCTCCATCTTCCGTTGCAGCCATCACAGACGAGACGCTGAGCTTCGTGGCTCGCAGCCGGCGCCTCCTGGTGGTGGTCAGCCCCGGTTACGCCTCGCAGGGCTCCCAGGCGCTGCTGGAGCTGAAGGCCGGCATCGACAGCATGGCGCTGGGCGGCCACCTGCGGGTCATCCTGGTCCAGTACCGGCCCGTCCAGAGGCAGAGCCTGGTCCGGGAGCTGCGGCGGGCCCGCGTGGCACTGGCGCTGGTCCGCTGGAAGGGGGACAAGTCCAAGGAGCTGACGTCCCGCTTCTGGAAGCGGCTGCGGGTGGAGCTTCCTGTGAGGAGAGGCGGGGAGCAGGATGGGAGCAAGGAGGCGGCGCTGATGAGGCTCCTCAGTCAGAACAGCACCAACTCCCAGACCGGCCTCATCAGCAACACCACCAAAACGCCTCACAACGTCCCGAACTCTGCAGCCTGACCCGGACGGCTCCGAACCAACTGGAGGAGCAAAACCAGTCCAACCAGTCCAGAGCCATAATGTCAGACCCGCTCACAGGAGCAGGTTCTGATTGGTTGGTCCTGGAGGAGAGAACCAATCAGGATGCGCTAATGGAGGCCACAGAAGATTGGACTCATCCGTGGAGACCCAGAGAAGGTCAAGTGACGGCGACCTGAGCCAAGAGTCGGGTTCAAACCGGATCAGACACACTGGGCGCCATTTTTAAAGTTAGCATCGATAATTTGACATAAGGGAGAAAAATGGAAATTAATTTCTACAGTCATATTTTCATTTCACCATGTTGTTCATTCATTTATAAAAGATCCAAAGAAATATTTCATCACCAACCTAAATGCTCCACTACAGATATTCAGTTTACTGATATTCAGCTGAATGAAGCTGAATATTTATTTGATTTGCTGGCTGGTTTTCTTCTCCTCAGTTTTCTGTTTGTTTTTCTGACTTCAGGTTTTCTGCAGACCGGAACTCAAAATTACATAAAACTCAGTATTTCCCAGAACACGAGTGTCATAAATCAACTTCATCTTCGCATTTCGAGCTTGAACTTTTTCTTTGTGATGTTTTCTTTTTTCTTGTTTGACTCAGAATGTTTTCATGAATGTTGAGAGAAACCATATTTTCAAACATTTGCCAAAAAGTCACATTTAGTTCTAAAAGTGGATTTACAGTTTTATCAGCTGGTTAAAGGTCTGTCACAGGAATCGATCAGTGAATGTAGCTCCATGTAAAGACCAACGTGTTTCTCATCTTTTGGATAATTAGTTTTTTGCTCCGCCTGGTGGTCATTAGAGGAACTGCATGTTTCATCAGACGTTTCATTGGATCATTTTGAAGAAAACCAACATGGAGTTGAAGGACTGTGTCACCTTGACACAGTCAAGACGGATTGAATTAGGATATTTTAATCCAATGGAACTTTAAATATTGTCATTTCTAGATATTATTTAGTTTATGTTTATGTCAACAAAATTACCTACAGTTTAATGAGTTAAAATACATTTTTGGGGTTGAAAAAAGCCAAAGCTGTTTAACATTTTACGCATCAGTGTTTTAATATTGAACACATTCTGCACTTTGTCCTGCTTTGCTGCATTTGTTTTTTATTAATTTTCTTTTTGATTAATTAAATAATATATGCATTAATTTCTGCTTTCATTAATCATTTCATTTTTTCTCATTAATGTTCAAAAACACAACAAATTTGATTTCATTTCATCTTTATAAATGGATCTTGGAAATAAGAAAGTCAAAGTTATTTTTCTGCTTTCTTTTCTTTTCATGTTCAAACCATCATGACAAAAGCAGGTAAAAATGGCACAGCAGATTTTTTTTCACTGGTCTTTCAGAGCTTAAAGAAAATCTGAAAAAAAAAACACACTCTCATATCTGCTTTTAGTTGTTGGAGGAAATATTTCTTTATTAAAAATTTTTACCTCCACATCAAGAAAAAAAACTACAAAAATAAACTTTCGTCTAGATTGACCTTAATTTCTGACTATTAAAGTCAAGAAAACAATGATAAGGCTCAGGAAATGAGTTCCTTAAAAAACCCTTTTGCCTTTTAAAGGCCTTCGCACAAAACAAACTAAATCAGTGAATTTTTATGCCACAGAGTTTCATTTTATATTATGATTTTTCTTACTTCAGTTCTTATAAAAATGCTGCATATATGAAATACGAATTAGAAGAAATTTGACTCCCTGATTCAAAGCCTTGAAATTGGGTCTTTCTCTTTAAAACCTCTTTCTGAAGCTCCGCCTCCAGGAAGTCATCCCAACATGGCTCCTCTTTAACCCTTTAATGATTTAATCAACATTGCTCTGAGCAGCAGCTCCTCCAACGAGCTCAGCAGCTAATTGGTGCTGGCTAGTCTGAAGGAGCTGAGTGGGGGAGGAGCTGTGCCTTGGAGGCGGGGCTAGGTCCATCCATTCGTACTGCAGCTGAATGGTTGCCATGGAGACTAAAGGATTTCTCAACCATGTATGAAAGAATCAACACTGCAGGTTTGTGTTTGATGAGGAAAACATTAAAACATGATGCAAAGATGATAAAACTTCATTTTACTTGATTCTGGCCCTTTAAGAACCAGCAGCTCACCGGCCTGCAGACTCCCACTAAACCAGACTTAAAGGTTGAATCGTTCAGTTTTGTGCAGAACAATGTTTCCTCTGCTGCCATGTTTGAGTCTCTTCTCCTCTGTCTCAGGTCTGTCCGAGTCCATCCTGCAGGCCATGCGGCGCAGCCGGCGCCTCCTCTTCGTCCTCAGTCCAGACCTCCTGGCGGAGAAGAGCTTCAGCCTGCTGGAGTGCCGTCTGGGTCTGTACCTGCAGCGCGGCCAGCGGGCCTCCATCCTGGCCGTGGTCTGCCGCTCCGTCACCAAGCTGCCCTGCGAAGAGGCGGTCCAGCTCCGCCGCGCCGCCATCTGCACCGCCACCTGGAGGGGGCGCCGGTCCGAACCGCGGCGCTCCCGGTTCTGGCTGCGGCTGCGGCTGGCGCTGCCGGTCCGGCCGCTCGCTCTGGGCCGGCGGCTCATCGACAGCACGTCGTCGCACTCTGACCTGGCGGCGCTGGCTCTGCAGAGAGCTCAACGCATCCGGAACCAGAACCGCAGGGACCGGGCCGGGCGGAGCCGCACGGGCCGCAGGGCTTCGGCCAATCACAGAAAGACTCCGTCCAGAGGGAGGGGCGACGTCAGGAGGGAGGAGGGGCTGCAGCACAGCAGGAGGTGCTCGGGGTGCGCTGGGTTCATGGGCCAGGTGGAGGACAGGCGGGCGGAGATTAGAGGGGAGACCCAAATCCAGCTACGCAACGGGACCGACGCCGTCTCAGAAACAGACTCCATCATCCCTGACCCCGCCCACACAGCACACAGCCACGCCCCATCACCAAACCACGCCCACGAAATTTATGACCCCGCCTCCTCTGACCTCGCCCTCTCCGGCTGTCAGCAGGAAGTGGACACTTCCAGGACTTCAGAAGAAAATCAGGCAGGCGAAAAGGGGGAGGAGCTTATGTTTGAGATGGCGCCAACCGCGCCCCCAACAGAAAACCCCGCCTAGCCGTTCATGTCTACGACGTGAATTGTTCTCAGATTGAATCGGTGAACATTTGGACTAATCCGAAGGAGTGTGATTAGTTTTTATTGGGTTTAATAGTTAACACTACTCTGGATTTAACGGAATCGTAACTGTTGCTGCAGCATGTTAGATTTGCTGAAACGTTTTACTGAGTTCTTTCTGCGTACTGGTTCTGAATAATTACTGCATTTTAGCCTCAAAGAAACCATCTCGGACAAAATATTCCTGATTTTAGCAATATTATGGAGGCAAAAGGAGAAAGTAAATTTAAACATTCTGACATTATTAGTAAAGTCTGTTTTTTTCATAAACATTTCATATACAAATCTAAAGCAGTTGTCCTGCATGGATTTAACCAAGTCTTTTCTGGAATCTGTCTTTCTTTTCATGATGTCAGCAGCTGCAGGAATCTGCACATAAACTCCTTTCTGTCTGATACGGAGCTAAATTAGGGTCCATAAGTAGTGTTCAAAAACAATTATTGGAGTCTGAAAAATAATTTCTAAACTGAAAAAAGTTTCAAACTGAAAGATAATAAATAAATAAAAGCTGAACTTTTCATGACGGAAAAGTTTTGAAACTGCTAGATATTTTTGAAACTGATAAAAGTTTTGAATCTGAAAGGTTTTATGGTTCCATAAAAAAATTAATTGGAAAGATTTTACTGAAAAATAATTTTCACACGAGAAAAGTTCTTCATATTGGAAAGTTTATTTTCAATTTCAAAATCCATTTTTTTAAACAAACTTTGTGGCCATAATTTAGCTCCATACAACTGATAATACATGAGATTTATTCTGAGAAGCTGAACTTTATGTAATCTGCCCCTTTTTTCAGCCTGCATGAACAATATTCTAATAAACTTTTTTTTAAAAAAGGTTTCTACTCGAGTTTTTATTCACTCTTGAATAAAGTGATTAAATGAATAGCAGCAACTGTAAATCCTGAACATGTGGTTTATCTAAAGGTGCAATTAATGCTGCTCTCTACAGGGGGCGCTGCTGGTTTTTCATTCTGTCCTCTGTGTTGGTCTTTCATTTGATTAATAAATATGTTTTCTGATGGGAGAAAATCTTTGAATAACCTGGAATAAGAAACAGTCGATACTACCTAAAGTTTTGTAGTGAAATTCTGCATTTTGATGATAAAACGAAGCAGGAAACATTCACACTTTCCTCAGTTCATCTCCTCCCAGCCTCCAAACCAGAGAGAGAAGGATTTCCTGACAGAGATGGAGTGTAAACTCCGACTTTGTGTTCTGCTGAGCTGGAAAAACATTTAATTCCCCATTAATTACCCATCTGTGAGCCAAGCTACTCTCTGCTATGACCAGGGAGGCAGAATATTACACCCATGATAAAAACACTGCAGACCTCTTTAGAAATTAGACAAACTCCCCAAATCCACATCTTCTGAACCAATTAAAGTAAATTAAACTTCCCACACTAGAACTGACTCCAGTACCGGTCCAGACAACAATGTTCCATGAGGTAATTTAATAATGTTAGAGGAATGAATGGCAAATATAAAAATAAATAAATACATTGAAAATAGAAAAAACTGTGGTAAATGTGCATGTTTAAGAACTGGATTTATGGTTTTCATAAAAAAAGAAAAACTTTTTTTTTTCGAAGTTTCATAAACGACTGAACCAGAACTGGAGCTGAAAATCTGCAGATTTTAATGTGATTTCCTCCCAGTCTGAGTTATTTCTGTTGTGTGGAAATCCTTCTACTTAGTGTAAAGAAACTAGAAGCTCTAATCTAAGCCTCAGTGAGTGACTTCATCACTTTCTTTCATTGTCTTTACTTACAGCTTTTACTCTGACGAAATCTGTTAATCACACACTTTTTACTCCAGGAGTGAAAATACAGTTTTTGCTCTCTGCTAGTTCAGGTTTCAGTTTAGAATCTGAAACTGAAATCTAGCACTAATCCTTCTACTTAGTGTAAAGTGTTTTTATTTCAGAAAACACTTTAATATCCCTGCATTATCATTTGAGTTTTAAAGGACAGTTTCATTAAATATAATAAGCTTTAAAATGACTAAAATTGAAGTAATGGCTTATTTCTTTAATTAAAAGCATCCTCTGCCTTAACTTGTGGTTTAAAATATTTAAAATTATTACGTAAGACATACAATAGGTAAAACACTTTTAAAACAGACTACAGATGAGACAAAGAAGAAGTCCAAGCACATAAATTATGTCTCATAAATTAATAGGGAAATGTCTTCTTGGAGGTGAAGTCATTAATCCTGGCTCAGAAACAATATTTAACAGAAAGAAGACGATGCACTTTATATGTAAATTGAATCTGGTCAGCATTTTCATACCTGTGATAAATTCAGGTTTCAACTGAAAGCAGGAAAAACCATGAGGTCAACATGATGCTGTGGAAAACAGCTCTTTGGAGTGAAATCCATGTTTCATTTTATTGGACCATCCATCATTTCTGCATGAAAGAAACATGTAAGTATGTTTTCTTTCCTGTTTTCATGGGGACCTGGGAAATCACCTGCTTTATGGGGCCCTCCAGGTTTATGGGGACTAAAGTGTCCTGGTGCGTTTTCTTCATAACATCTTTGTTTAAATGTCACTGAACAAATTATACAGCAATAATTCATAACAAAGTTTGTCTCAAGACACTTTGCACAAAATAATCAAATTTATAAACAGAATTCACATAAAATTTTGTGCCATAGGTGAGACCATTTTATGAATCCATATTTAGCTGGTTAACTAAATATTTTGTTTGTAAATAAATATTTAGTTGTAGGTAAATATTTATTTAGCTCCAAACAAAATATTTTGGTATTTGTTGTTTGTATTGTGTTTGTTTTTGTCTATTTTGTGATGAGCACTTTCAGACCATTGTCTGCGAAAACATGATGTATGAATAAACTTTTACTTTTAGAAATGACTGAATAACACATAACCACATAATGTAGTAGTTTGCATAGAAACTGGTGTGTTTGATGACATGGTTATGTGTTGAGCAGCAGTTAGTGTGCAGTTATTCATCATCACACAGGATCCCATTAAGACTCATTAACCATTAAACTGCACCACAGGCAGAATGATTTATGGGATTTCTTGGACCTCACAGGCCTTTCTGCTGTGAAGGTGAACTGCAGCAGTTTGTACGCAGATGTAGAAGGAGTAGAAATCTTCTACATTTAATTTATTTCAATATGTTTCAATGCAGATAAAGAGCAGGCATTCGAGAGGACAGGAGGTGTTCTCTGGCTTACTTGCTGATAGACAGGAACCACTGAAGGAAACGACACTAAAACCTCTGAAGACACAGAGAGCAACTTCCTGTTTCACCTGATGGAAACAAGATGGAGGCATCAGATTTTAGTGTTGGAGGATTTCTCTTTAGTCTTTGGCTGAAGACCAGGAGCTATTTCTGCTGCTAGCGCTAGACTAGCATATTAGCTTTGGCTGTTTTTACCCATAATGCCCTGCATTGCAGTCCACTTCCTGCTGCTGAAGCGGTCTCTGGTCTGATTGGTGTTCACATTTGCATTCAAACTGTTCACTTCTACTGAACCCAGACCAGGTTTGTAGGCAGATCAAAGATAGATTTTTTGGTTATCAAACCAAACTAAACCGGACAAAAAGACTGGAGTTAGATTAGATCGACTTAACAAGACTGGTGGGAATGAACTCTTAATCAGCTCTAGAAACTATTCATCATCAGATAATGTGAAACACTGAGGTGAGTTAAGGTCTGCAGGGTATAATGTTACACTTATTCATCATCTGCATAAAAATAAACACTTTTTTTCCAGAAAACAGTAAAGGGCCCAGACTACAACCTGGGGGACGACCGTGGTTTATGTTTTTGGGATTCTGAATCCAGAATAAAATCTCACAAAGATCTGCTACTCAAAAATAGTTAAAACAATTAGATAATTTAGTTTCCATCCTAGAAGTGTCAAACACCGGGAGACTGGAACTGGTCCACTTCAGGCAGAGAGTCACCCTGACCTGGAAATGATCCAAAACCTTCAGCAGACTAACGTCGGCGCTTTCATTTAGATTCTGGTCTGTTAAAAATGCTAACAGACTAATAATTGAAGTGCTTTAAGTCTGCAGCTGTGAAGGTTTTTAACCAGTTTAGAAATGATTTTTCTGCGTCTGTATTGGAAACTTTGCTCCTCATCAGTCAAAAAGCTAAATGGCATCCGGCTGCTTCTGGAGACCTCTAAGTGGTTCTTATTAATTGATCCAACCTGGAGAATCAGAAAATGCTGTGCTAAGTTTTATTCAGGCTCTGATCACTCGTTAATTATGGTCTTTTACTTTGAGTCATTAGGATGAAAAACATCGAGTTTTTCCAGTGCATCCCTCTGAATGCTCTTCATTTGGTCTCTGCAGCAGGAATCCCCTCGTTCCTCATCAAGTTTTCTCCCTCACTGATTACTCCATCCAAAGGTCAGAAGTCAGCAGCATCCTCTCACTTATACATGACACATTAGTGAGAAGTAATGAGCATGAAGCACTTGCTTGGTCAATCTGTAACCACGACTGCGTCTCCGTTCTGCATTCCTGATGCTACGGATTCTTCATCAATCAGGTGATCAGAGTCAGAGATCAATAAAGTCACAGAGAAAAATCATCATTCTGCTGAGATCCATTGGGTCAAAAAACCTATCAAAATTCTGCTATTCAAAAATGACTAAGACATGTCAGAGAATCAGAAGATGCTTAAGCTAACTACTTAGCTAATGCATAAGTTTGCTTGCCAATAAGCAAAAGCAGACTTTCAAAATAAAAGTTGTGTGTTTATAACGTCTACATGAACTCCTGCAGATGATCTTGATTCATTCAATGCTAATGCATCGTCGTTTGTTTTAAACTGAAATGATGTTTAAGAACAAAAGAAGCGATGATAAAAATCAATTTGTATGTTATCTAAATATTTAGCTTTGAGACAAATACTTAGCTTCAAACTAAATACTCCACTTGCAAGTTAAACCTTTACTTTGAAAGCAAATATTTAAGTGGCTAACAATATTTAGCTTGCTAACAAAATTTTTACTCTGAGGGTAAATATTTAGCTTGCTAGTTGAATAATTAGTTTTAAATTATCACATATATAAATGTATGAATAACATGGATGCACCTCAGAACATTTAGTCTTTGATTAGTTGATCAGAGCTGAGCAAGCGGCTCATTAGCAGCCGAGCTGTCGGGCTCTGCGAGAACTCGGTGGAGAGGCCGATCCCCCAGCCGGTCGGGCCGGGTCGGGTTTCAGCCGACCGGCCTCTTTAATCACCCCTCTCCGACCCGGACCGGCCCTCCTGGCAGGTTCCGGGGCGGCGGCGCCTCTGTACCTGATCCGGCCTCCAAGCTGTCGGACATCTGCAGCAGCTCCCACCTTGTCATTAGAGGCCGACCGCTCCGCCGCCCAACTCCGACTGCGACCCGGCCCGAGTTTCCCTCGGCCCCCGCAGCCTCTCAGGGGACCGGGACCCTGAGTTGAGAACCCCCGGGGAGAAAGTGAAACCCACCATCATAGGGGCCTGTCCCCAGGGAGCCGCAGGGGCTTTATTCCCACGAGGAGACTGGTCAGACTGGTTTCACTGGTAACTGAGCTAAAGATGGAGACACTCCGGTTCTGGTCCAAACCACAAAATAATCAACTTTCATGATAAAATTGTTCATCCTGGAGTTTTAATTTAAGCCTCAGTGGATTTTAAAAATCTGATATTTTTGTTTCAAATTGCCAGTTTTTCTGTTGAAAAACCAGAAAACAATAAAAACTGGAGAGTAGTAGGATAATAAAATGGCCAGTTTGTTTCTGTTCTGAAACAATGAGAACATTGCTAACTCAGCTTCACGTTCTGAATGATCTCTTTGGGTCGACAACAAACCATTTCATCCCAAAACACATTTTATTTGTTCAGTTAAATCAATCTGACATACAGAGTTTAACGCATATTAGCAAGAAAACATCACAGATAGGAGCTAATTTCATTGGCTGTCATGGTTAGCATGATTAGCATTTATGGCTCATTATCTCACTGAAGTCATAGATATAAAAAGATTAAACATGTATCATTTCTAGCAGCTAATGCTAACAATTCCTGATTTATTTTATCAACATTTCTAAAAAAAAAAAACTAAAAAAATGTAAACCAATTGTAAACTGTTTTATTATCTAAAACAAATTTTATTGTGACTTTAACTGGTAGGAAATGTTAGTTAAACTTATTCTAAATCTGTTTGTAGAAACTGGACGATCTTTTGTAATGTAGTGTTAAAATGTTACATTTTTTAGATTTCAGCCTCTTTTTAAATGTTTGAAATAATTTATTTGTTTTTATGAAAAGTTTTTGCTTCAGAGGCAGTTTTATGTTTTAATATTAAATTATCAGAATTTCTCCTGCAGTTGTGAAATTGTTTATTGGTTTTTAGGACAAGATCTGATTTTTGGCACCAACAAGCCAAGACTTAATGACCACCAACCAAAATGTTCTGCTGGATGATTCCTTTTCGTCCTGGAACATTTAATTGGATTATAATTTAGCTAGCATGTTCTAATGAGACTTGTTACACTGTCAAAAAATGACAGCAATATATTAGTTTTTTAGTTTGCAGAAAAACTAAACAATGGGGGCACTTTTTTTCTAAGTCATACTTTCAACATTATATTTCATATATTTATGAATGTTCCAGTTCATTAGCAAACTGTATATTTAGTTACCAGGCTTAATAATTTTCTTGCTAACTAAATATTTAGCTTGTTAATTACATATTTAGCTAGCTAATTTAGCTCCAAAATGAAAGATTTATTTAGCAAGCTAAAGATTCAACACAGAGCTAAATATTTAGCTCCATGATTGTTTTGTAGCATGCTAACTAAATACTTATCTAGCTAACTAAATATTTAGCTTAAAGCTAAATATATAGATTAAGTTGTCAAACTACACATTTTGTTTGCTAACTAAAAATAACTTTAATAACTAAAAACTAAAGATATCAATAGTAAGTTATATATTTAGTTATCAGCATGGATCTAACATTTAGCTTGCTAACTAAATATTTAGTTTGGAGCTAAGTTTATTATTTTGTGTTAACCTTTATTTAGTCAGATAAAAACCAAATGAGACCTAGGTCTGTTTTACAAGCCTCCTGGTTAACTTGCAAACTAAATATTTAGTTAACAAGCTAAATACTTTGCTTACTAACTAAATATGTAGCTCCAGATCTAAAGTGGTCGGAAGCCAGCTGATTATTTAACTTGCAAACTAATTTTTATTTAATATAATATTAAATAATTAGATAAGCTAACTAATATTTAGCTAGCTTATCTAGTATGGCGTTTCTCTTAGGCGTAAAAGCAGTGAGAATCAAAGCTGTGTTGGAAACGCTCCCATAAAAACACCAGCCCAGGATTTGCCGACCTGACCCGACCCGTTCAGGGATTCTTTTCTCATGTTTGGGCTCATTGGTTTATCAAACTGGCAGTTCAGCAAGTTAATAAATAAGCGTCTCAACATTAACACTAAATTTCAGGCAGTTTTGTTCATAAGTTGGTTTTTCACCGATGGCAGGCACCAAGTGTAAACATCGGTCACAGTTTGGCTGGTATTTGTGTTTCTTCTCTGCAGAGAATCCAGAAGGTGCTGGATTTTGTTCTGGTCCGTTTCAGCATCTGACGTCTCGTCTCAGGATCTTGTTTTGGATTTCTGTTTTGATTCTTGGTCAGAATGAAAGTAGGATATAAATTACATTAAACATTCAGTCACCAAAACAGATCAACTTATATAAAAAGAAAATAGAACTTTTTTATAAGTTGTATTGAGTGCATTCTATAAAGCTACAATGTCAAAAATTAACAGCAGTAATTTCAGTTATTTAGCCGCTTATAAAAACGGGGGTTAATTTTTCAAAGTCATATTTTCACTATTTTATTCATCAGTTTATAAATGTAACAGTTAACTAAATATTTAGTTAGTGAGTCAAATATCTTGAACAAGAGAAAAATATATTTTGTAATTATTTAGCCAGAAAACTATATTTGGTTCAAACCAAACCCAACCAGACCCAACTTTTATTTTGATAGTCTATTTCCACTTATCTTTTAACTCTGAGGTAAGCAAGTTTCTAAATGACATTTTTAGCTAACTCTGAGGTAACTAAATGTTTATCTAGCGAAGAACTAAATATTTAGTTTTGAGCTAAATAGTTTGTTTGCTCACTAAATATTGGGTTGGAATTAAATATCTACTGTAGTTCGTAAACATTGGAGCTAATTAGATTAAGTATTTTTGTTTGAATCTGACATTTATAAATTTATTACCACGGTGGAAACCAGACTTTGAAAAATGACTCCCCATTTTTTACTCTTGTAAAAACTAAATAATCCAAAGTATTGCTGTTCGGTTTTCATTGAGTAACTTTAAAGAAAGCAGCCGTCTCAGGGAGAACCTTTGGGTCGGTTACGGTTCCTTGGGGTCGGTTACGGTTCCTTGGGGTCGGTTACGGTTCCTTAGGGTCGGCTACGGTTCCTTAGGGTCGGCTACGGTTCCTTAGGGTCGGCTACGGTTCCTTGGGGTCGGTTACGGTTCCTTGGGGTCGGCTACGGTTCCTTGGGGTTGGTTTCCGTTCCTTCAGGTCGGTTTCGGTTCCTTGGGGTAGGTTACGGTTCCTTGGGGTCGGCTACGGTTCCTTGGGGTCAGCTATGGTTCCTTAGGGTCGGCTACAGTCCCTGTCGGGGAATCCAGGTGAAGTTCCAGCGGCCCCCCATGTCCTTCCTGATGAAGGCCTGTCCCTGGGGGAAGCTGTGTGTCTTCACGCTGCTGGACGGACTGAGGGACATGCTGAAAGCCAAATCTGTCGGTTTGTGAAGCGACTGCGATGGCGTAGTGCTGCGGCCACCACAGGGCGACTGAGGTTTATACAGAACAGAGCAGGAAGACGACCTGGAGGTGAAGCAAAGCGGCTCGGTTGGAGTCCAGCTGGACTCCAGCGGCTGCAAGCCTCTGGTGGAGCAGATCTCCGTCAGCGCAGAGCCAGGCGAGGCTCCTGCAGGTCCAGAGCAGGGTGGTGCTGGCCTGGCAGGAAAGGCGCATTCAGAGGACGGGTGGTTCTTCTGCCCTGCGGCGGTTTGGCAGGAGCTGTGGACGAAGGACGGTGTGGACACCGGGGAACCGAAGGCGTCGCTGTACACCAGATCTGTCAAGCTGGACTCTGATTCGCTGGACGTGTCAATGGTGTTCTGGTCCTTCAGGCCCAACATTCGCAGCACCCAGAGATCCAGCTTTGGTTCTGGAGAGGCTGACCCGGCAGAGGACTCACAGCAGAACTCGGCAGTAAGGTTTCTGCAGACCCTCTTGGTGATCTGTTTGGAGAACGAACGACCTCTGACCTCGGAGGGTTCATGATCGAAGATGCTCTGGTTTCTCTTCCTCCTGTCTGCTGTCAGTTTCTGTGATGCAGAACAGATGAGACAGATTCAGAAAGCATTCATGTCTCCCAGCTCCTCCTTCAGTCCTAAAACATCTCTGCTAGGCTAACGGGGCCGAGAGGTGAGTGTGTGTCGTTGTTCCTGTGTTGCCTTGTCTTCATCCTTCTGTGCTCTAAATATCTCTATTTACATTTTCTGGAGGTTCAGAAGAAGGGAATCTGTCAAAGTCCGGTTCGGTTGGTGAGGTGTGAACGCTAACCGACCTCTGACCTCTGGTCCTCCAAACTCCAGGTCTGGGTTTGGTTTAAATGTGAACGCCAAGCGGACCAGAGACCGCTCAAAAAGCAGGAAGTGACTACAGCACAGGGCATTCTGGGTAAAAACAGCCAAAGCTAATATGCTAGCCTAGTGCTAGCAGCAGAAATGGCTTCTGGTCTTCAGCCAAAGACTAAAGAGAAATCACTAAACTCTGATGCCTCCATCTTGTTTCATCTGGTGAAGCAGGAAGTTGCTCTCAGTGTCTTCAGAAGTTTTAGTGTCATTTCCTGCAGTGGTTGTTGGTGCAGCGCTCCCACAGGCCAGGAGGGGAACAGGCTGGTTTGACTCAGAGCCACAGCAGCTGGAGGTGGAGCAGATGGTTCTGGTTCCAATCTAAATGTTTCAGGAGACTGATTCTTAGGACTGGAGTTGTAAACTGTTGACCTAAACGACACACAGCTCTTCCACTGGGAGCACACCGACCCTTAAGGCCTATCTGTCCCAAAACTAAAACCCTCAGGAAACTTGATCAAAACTCGATGTTCTCCAGATCTGCAGGACACATCAAGACCAAACATCCACACCTCAGTAAATCCTTCATCACTGCAGGTTCAGTCCAATCACGCACCTTTGCTTTTTCCTGCAGGTTTGTCACAAAAGAGGAAGTGAGAAATGCTCTGAGTTTTTTGTTCTCCTCCTGCAGCCTGGCCAGCTCCTCCTCCCTCTGCAGCAGCGCATCCTGCAGCTGGAAGCACAAAAAGCATCACGAGCGTCAGAAACAAACTGAAAACTGGTCCAGATCCTAACTGATCTGCTCTCAGTTTGTACAATGAGTTATTATCTCTTTTTTGGTTTAACTGCAAGTATTAAAGTGAATGAGAAGTAAAATCTGAATGATAATTGATTTTAGCCTGACAGTAAACAGCTGCTGTTTACCTGTTTGTTCCTCTGGAGGTGAGGCGAGAGCTGCTGTGTCGACATCAGGCCAGCAGGGGGAGTGAAAGCACACTTGGATTCTGACAAAAACACACAGGAAATGATGTAATCAATAATCAAACGAAACCTCTAAAGTCGACAGATTTTAACAAATCAACCATGTTGGCTTTGGCTGAACATTCAAATCTGATTTTTACTGTAAGATAATAAAATGTTTTCAATTTAATTAAACTACAGAAACCTTGCCCCCTGCTGGCACGATGAAGAATCTGAATAACAAATTTAAAACATGAGATCTCAGCAGTGTTTTTGTGATTTAAATAGACTTGGACTTCACAACAGCGCCCCCTGTGGTCAGAAGAGGAGGTCAGGTAGTCCAGCTGGGATCAGACCAGCCGAACGCCGACTGACGAAGAAATGATCTTTAGTTTTTAATGAATGGAACGGATATATGTGTTTGATAAATAATTAATCAAAAACTATTTGTTTGCTCATGCAGCACTGTGATTGGCTGGATTACAGATGGGGGCGGGGTCAGGTCCAGAACATTAGCGTTAGGTTCACTTACCCCACAAAGACGACATGCTTCTGCTCTCATCGAGGCCACAGAGGTCAGCAGGGTCATGCTCAAGTCCCCAAATAGAGGCCAGTGTTTCCATGGAAACACCAATGATATCGCTGCCAAAGAAGTGACGAAGAAGAGAAGAAGAAGAACAGCCTGAGAAAAAATTCCCACACAGAGCGAAGAATTGAATTTATTTCTTACAAACACATTTAGCCAAAACAGCAGGATGTTTTCAAAGTGAAACACCGACGACCCCTACAGGCAGAGAGAGGAACTACAGAAACACCGACCCCTACAGGCAGAGAGAGGAACTACAGAAACACCGACCCCTACAGGCAGAGAGAGGAACTACAGAAACACCGACCCCTACAGGCAGAGAGAGGAACTACAGAAACACCGACCCCTACAGGCAGAGAGAGGAACTACAGAAACACCGACCCCTACAGCAAGAGAGAGGAACTACAGAAACACCGACCCCTATAGGCAGAGAGAGGAACTAACTGAACTCCCTCCACGGAAGTGAATCTTCATCTCTGTAAATGAAATAATTTACTTTATCTACGTGACTCTGTGGAGCAGGTGACTCGGTGATGGCAGTATGATGCTGTGGTGCTCTTCAGATTGAGCCATTCAGAACCTGGACATGCAGCCAGATTTCCTGCAGTCCAGACCAGAAACGCTGCAAATGGCTGAAATAAAAAAACATTTACTGACGATAAACTGACTGCATTTATTTAACTGAGAACAGAAAATCTGTTAAAGTGCAGCCGGTCGCTCAGGGTGGTGAACCAACAACTCATTCAAATATCGAGAACCTTCTGATATTTATTTCCTGGGAGAATCTTGCAGTTTGGCTGCTGATCTTTGATTCCTAATTTCTTTCTTTCCAATAAAAGCCAGTGGCTGCCGGTTTGTCCACAGTCTGATTAAAGTCAGCAGATCTGAAATCCTGCAGCTTCTGTCTTACTGGAGGATTTTAACTAAAGCGTGAACCTAAAGTAAGAGCATCATTTTTTAAGATTTTACTAAATTTACACAATAATGTCATGAAATATCACAAACATCCTCAACAGAAGATCATTTGTAAAATGATAAATAAACGATTAAAAGCGAAGTTCGGAAGGTTCGATCCAAACGTTGGGTTTAAATCTGAACGTTCAGGCTGCAGGTTGGAATCTGAATCATTTGTTCATTTTTCTGATTTCTGCTGCTCAACCTGGAGGCGAAACTTTAACTAAACCGAGTCAAACTTCAGAGAAACACGGAGCTTCTCCTGCACCGATTAACCGAACCGAGCGGAACCGAGCAGAACTTTACCGCCGTCAGATTCAGACCTGAGCGCGCCACGTCTCCTCCGCGCTGCGCGCAACGCGCACCGGACTCTCCGGACTCTCCGGACCCTCCACGCACCACAGGGACGGGAAAAAACCTCAGCGCCGAACCAGAACCAGGTCCAGGTTCTGGTTCTGGTTCTGGTTCTGGCCCTAAAGCTGCAGGATCAGAGGAAACTTTGAGAGGGTGAGTTTGCTGTGATGTGAGTTCAGTCTGAGCAGAGCTGCAGATTTCCTCCCACGCGCAGCAGGTGTCACCGCCCGCATCCACGCGCGTGCCGGTTTGTCCAATCAGCGCGCAGAAAGAGCCGAACTGAGCCCACCTGGGGGCAGGTGGGCTCCGAAACCCAATAAGGGAAGTTCAGTGAAAAGATTCCGGTTATTTAATCACTTTATGATTTCACCAAA